CGATTCTAAGTGTATTGTAGCAACTCTAATTAATGGTGAAGGAAAATATTTATTTATTAATCTTAAAGGGAGACGCTGTTGAGCTTAAAACTAACTTAAATAACAACAACTGATAGCCAATTACAGATCCTCACAAATAGAAATATAGTGGATGCACAATTTAACTAACCTAGGTATCGTATAAAACATAAACATACAACCGCAGTTGCAAGCTTTACTATGAGTCAAAGAAATGCCCACTCAGTGCTCTCCTCGCCGAAATCACACTCATATTGAAAAGATCCAGATCACAAGAAGTACATAGAATGTTAAAATAGGGGTATGGGGTAGAACCAAAAGTGAATTGTTTCTCAAAGATTTAGACGGAAATATGGGATAATAATTTCGGACAGCCAATTGAGTCTGATGCTGTTTTTATTGAAAAGATTAGGTTAATATCACAACACATTTCAATTGGTAGAAGATGATGCTTCTTACAGAGATTGTAATATCGATAATATCGTGATGAAGCCTGCATATCGTAGTAGGTTTGGAACCATTGGAAACATGTTAAATCTCCTCTTTTTTTTTAGGAGACACGTGCTCGATAGTAGGAGGTACAATGGATTGATGATGACCTCAAACTATTCGAACTTAATTTCTTAACTGGATATTTGAAGTATACGTAACTGACGAATTCCCAAAAAGAATTTTGCCAGTTCGTCGAACAGTGGCTAACCTAACCTTTTTTTTTTTTTTGTTAATCCGGGGGAATCTGCTTACAGATACCCCGGCCCCGCGGGGGCAGAGCCGGGGTTATGTGGGACTGGGCTGAACCCTGAAGGGGAGCAGCCCGACCGCACTAAACCCCCGGAGTGTTCCTCCTCTCCGCTGTAGGTGGGGGTACGGGTACGCTGTTGCACTCGTCCGCGCCCCCACCAGCGGCTGGCCGCGCCCTGCGCAGCCCCTCCTCGAGAAGGGAGACACATCGGTCCCCCGACTCCGAATGTGAGGCTCGCCGAACACCAGACGAGCCTTCCATCCCGGGCCCCTTTATGCTGGGCAACGAACTCCCCCGAGTCCGCTACCCAGGGGCCATGGGGGGCCAGGACAGCATCCACTCAACTGTGAAGTTCAGTGGCTGCTCCCCCAGCCCCCGCGGCGGATCTGATGACAGGCTCCGCCGCAACACCTAACGCGCTTCCGCGCGGACTCTCCGAAGAGAGTCCCTTGGAGCGCCCACCACGGGCCAATCGCCCACATTCGGCCGCGGAGGACAGGACGAGCGGCAACGACACACCGACACGTCTCTTCCCCCGCGGCCCCGCCGCCACTGCATCATTGAAAGCGGTGCAGCCCCGCCAGGGTCGCGGAGGACAGGACGAGCGGCAACGACACACCGACACGTCTCTCCCCCCGCGACCCTCCTCCTCGCGAATCCGCGCGGTCTCCCGCTGGCCAAACGAACCCCGCGCGGAACGCCCTCCTCCTCGGGCCAGCCTAGCATCATCGGCCGGCCCTGTGAGTTCCTCTTAGCTTCACCGTGGGATGAAATCGACCACGGCTACAAGAGCCACCCGCCACGACAAGGCGGGAACCCCTTCGGGGGGGTGGCTCACCTAACCTAACCTAACCTTTTTTTTTTTTTTTTTTTTTATCGTGAGGAAAATGCGTTACGCATTCCCCGCCGCTGGGAGACGGCGGGGATATGTGGGACTCTCTCCTGGGGACTATGTCGATCCCCAAGAGCATACCCACTAAAAACCTCACGATGTTCCTGCGCGCACCTGGCGCCGGAGCCGCGGGGTCCCTTTCAGATGCTACCGCGACTCCGGTGGTGCTGGTCCGCCTTTGGGCGGACCCCTACACCATCGCCCCCTTAATCATGGGGGGCGACCTACACGGAGATGCCCCGGAACATTTGGGGCATCTACCGGCGGCGGAGGCCTGTGCAATGCAGGGGCAGGGTCTCCCAACCCCGCACCCTGCTGGCCTCCGCTGATGGGACGCAGGCGGTCGGCAAAGAGCCGTCGCGTGCGTCCTCTCCGCCGACGCCGAATGGGGTCCGAAAGGGCGCTGTCTTCGCGGACCCGTTCGGCTGTCTCCTTCTGCGACATCACGTCCTCGCAGAAGGAGACCATCGCCTGCCATGACCTCTCGCTTCCCAGCATGGCTCTAACTATGCTGGGCAGTGAGAGGTCTCGTCCCACCACCTCTACGAGATCCCGGCGCTGCTGGCTCCAGGTCGGGCACACCTCCAAGATGTGCCTCGCCGAGTCTGTAGCAGCGCCGCACTCGTGACACTCCGGGGTCACCTCCCTCCGTGCGATCTTGTGCAGGTAGTCACCGAAACAGCCGTGTCCGGTGAGTACCTGAACAAGACGGTAGGTGAGGGACCCGTGCCTCCTCTTTCTCCAATCGGCCAGTACAGGGAGCAGCGCCTGGACGGTGCGCTCCCCGTATCTGGCCGATCGGAGTGCCTCCTCCCACCCCGCCTGGACGGCGGTCTTGGCGGCACGCCGAACCCCCACTAGCTCCTCTAGTGTGGGGCGCTCTCCACGTGCCCTGGCTTCCGCACGGCACCTGTAGGTCTGCTCGAGGACGGACGCCTCGAGCTCCCAGGGTGCGGATCCAGCCAGGGCGCATGCCGCCGCTCCGGAAACCGTCCGGTACGCCCGAATCGCCCTCACCGCCATTAGCTTCTGCGGTCTGCGCAGAAGCGGCCGCAGTCTGGTGGTGAGGGCCTCCGCCCAGATGGGCGCCCCGTAGAGGGCCATGCTCCGTATGACGCCAGCATAAAGCCGACGACATAGGGAGCTGGGTCCCCCCACGTTTGGCATAAGGCGCCCAAGCGCCGCCGCGGCGGACACGAGTCGCGGCGACAGCCGGTGGAAGTGCTCTTTGAAGTTCCACCGGCTGTCCAGGGTGAGCCCAAGATACTTTATATGAGGGCTCACCCCGACCCTCCTTCCTCCCACCTCCACCCAGGAGCCGGGCGGAGGCCCTCGACGGAGGCCATAGAATGCTATGACCTCTGTTTTGTCGAAGGCGACCGTGAGCCCCAGCTCCCCAATGCGGCTGACCACTAGGGCGCTTCCCTCCGTGGCCAGTCGCGACGCTTCCCCCCAATCCCGCCCCCGGGCGTAGACTAGAGTGTCATCTGCGTAGCAGATGACACCCAGTCCAACGGGGAGAGATCCTCGGAGCACGTAGTCGTATCCGAGGTTCCACAATAGCGGGCCCAGAACCGAGCCCTGTGGAACCCCGCGGCACATGCTCCGCTCCCTCATCTCCCCGTTCCGGTCAAAGAAGGAGATCTTCCTCCCGGTGAGGTAGCTCGACACCACCTGCCTCAGATATTGAGGCAGGCGGTGGAACTTTAGGGCCTCCTCGATGACGGAGAACGGGATACTGTTGAACGCGTTGGCGATGTCCAACGAGACCGCCACAACAATCCCCCGTTCCGCCTTGGCCCTCCTCACCTGTCCCCTTAGCTCCGCTATCGCATCGATGGTCGAACGCCCAGCCCGAAATCCGAACTGGTGCGACGACACATCGGGGCCCACACTGTCGAGGTGCTCGATGATGCGGGCAGCGAGCACTCGCTCGAAAAGCTTACCCGCCTCATCGAGCAGCACGATGGGCCGATACGCTGATGGGGACTCGACCGGACGCCCTTCCTTCAGGAGGAGGCAAAGGCGGCCCTCCTTCCACACCTGGGGGAAGCTCCCCGACGCCAAGCTGGCATCGAAGAGCTTCAATACGCGTTCTCCCAGGTGTTCCAACGCAAGTGCCAGGACTTTCCCTGGCACACCGTCCGGACCGGGGGCCTTTCTTGTGGCTCTGAGCCGGTCCGCTGCCGCCTTTAGTTCCTCCTGTGTGACTGGAGGAACTGTATCGACCTGTTCCGGCTCCGCAATCGGCGGAGTCATGGAGGAAGGAGAGAAACTCTCATCCCCCTCCGGGAACAGGCCAGCCACCACTTGATTGAGGAGCTCCGTCTCCATCGTCTCGGCGGGGGGCGCCCGGTGCTGCAACTTGTTGCGCACCATCTTGTACGGGCGCCCCCAGGGGTCCCCATCCAACGTGGCTAGGAACCCCTGCCGGGCCAGATCTTGGGCCCGGCTTATGCCGACTCGGAGCTCCTCTTGCGCCGCCCTATAGGCGGCGTGGTGGATTTCCTCCTCCTGGGGCGTGTGACGCCTTCTGCGACACCGCTTGTGCGCCCTCCGCGCGGCGTTGCTGGCGGATCGCAGAAGCGCGAGCTCGTGCGTCCACCAGTAGACCTCCCTCTTGTTGGGAAACCTAACCTAACCTAACCTAACGTACTAAATTGTGAGACGAACAATATCCGCTAGGGTCATTATTGGTATTTTATTAAAGTTAACATCATAATTCAATCTTTACTGTCTCGCGCGGTAGACTTTAAATATCCAAAACCTACCGCGTCCATTATTGCCCTGTCACTTTGAAACAGTCTTTCTAATACAGTAATATAGTTATATACACGCACACATTCAAACGCACATACTCAACATAGCCCCGCACTAGGGAAAACCTGTGTCGCGGGTGCCATGGACACACACATAGACAACCACAAATGACACCCAAACTCACGAGGGAAATAAATGTAGGCCATACAAATGTTTCTCCCGGCCCGGGAATCGAACCCGGGACCTCTCTCTGCGTGGCAGTCTCTCTGCATGGTAACCGTTCGGCCACGGCGGCAGTTACTTTCATCTTTAGATTTCCTTTTCTCCCTCATTTCTTCTTCTTTTTCTTCTTCGCTATCCTCTCAATGCGTGTAGGTATCTTCCAATACACGCTATTTGTTTAATATCTGATAAATTTAAATTAAATTGTCTTATATTCATTTCTAGCGGAATTATTAAGGAAAATACGGATAAGTGGATGACCTTGTGCTACAAGGTACTACTGTTTATGGAATATGATTCAAAGTCTGTAGGTCACGATCGGGATTAAGGACAAATGTTGACCAACAATGATGATTACTTCCACAGTTTGCCGGCTGTCTGATCGTGATCATCCTTCTGGAGCTGTCGGTGGGTATAGCTGCAGCAGCACTACGTCCACAGATCGAAGGCTCGATGAAGACCCAGCTGCGTGCCTCCTTCATCAAGAACAAGTCCACGAAGGAAGAGGATTCCACATATGTTGAATTCTGGGACCGCATTCAGAGCACTGTAAGTAACATGTTTAAAGCAAAAATTGCTCAACCTTGATTGAAAAGGCTTTGTCCAACATATCCTATCAGTAGATTTCAATAGGTAGACGTGTTCAAGAATTTAGGCTTGTTTTGATAATGTTTTCAAGATTCTACGAGCAAATGTAAGTTGTTGTAGGTAATAGAAATTGGTGTCAGAAAACATTTCAGTCAATTCCGTGGTATGTATAATAAAACATCCATAATTTTGAAGGAAAACGGAAACGGATTTGGTTTATATCAATTCCAGAACCGTAATTTGAAATTGGAAATCAACAGATTGTTCGCGATATATAATTCCACAAATTAGTTAATTAGTTAAACCAATTGAGTTCACCTCACAAACTGTTTCAGCTCCAATGCTGTGGAGTTACTGGCCCGGACAACTATGGATCCTCTGAACCTCGCCTGAACCCATCCTTCAGCTGCTGCCCTCAGACCTCGGATGTCCAGAACACTGCTCGCGCTAACTGCATCAGCCAGGCGACATATTACACTGAGGGATGCGAGGATAAGATCCTCATGACCGTCCACAGCGCTGGGTTGACGGTTATTGTTTGCGGCATCCTGTTTTGCTTCTTGGAGGTCAGTTGATACATTTCTCATTTCAAAAAAGCAACAAAATGGGTATATCAGAGCTGATGGTCACGATGATTAAAAATTGAGTAATTGCAATAATTATTTTCTTCATGATTGAGAAATTTGTAAGATCTGCTTACTCGATCTATAGGTCTGTTGCTAAAAGCGATAGCCACTGTCAGACAACAGACTGGTTCGAATCTAGTTGCATAGAATAAATTTTCTAAGGGAGTCACCACATTTATTAACGTTAAATCGCATTAAGCCGGTCAGAAAAAGCTTTATGGCCATGGACGTACGAGCGAATAAGACGTTGTGAGTTTCGCATCGGTTCAAACGAACGCGGCGCGACACAATACGGCTACGAATCTGCTTCCTGCGAATTTCCGATCGCGTTTACATCAGCATGCGCTGATGACGGCGAATCCTGGTTTAGAAAGAATCGGCTTAATGCGATAAGTGTGGTTAAACACGATCACATCAAAACGATTCCACGTTAACAAGTTTGGTGACATCCTAAACGCGCAATGAACAAAATATTACTAAGCTCTAAAGGTTCGCATGCAAGCGTCGTAGTTTTGCGATGTTAACACGTTTTATAAATATGCTATAGCAGTAAAGCTTGGTTATGACTCTAATTTGAGCCTGGTAATTATAAGCTAACTTTGACCTTCCCTCGTTCCAATTTTCAACTGACCCGGGCTATAAAGATTAACTGATGAGATAGAAAGTTCGTGCTCGTATTAGAATCTAGAATAGTGGAATATTTTTCCACCTGAATAAATTTACACAAAGTTTTTCTGAGAATCCGGTATGAACTTAAGGCTCAGTTTACATCGTCGCGGAAGGGAATGGATGCGAGTTTTTGTAACCAAAGCTAATGAACTTTATGTCAATTGTGTAATGTACAAACTACAAACAGAAATTTCGGGTCTTTCATAAGGCGCCGTTTCATTCTGTTAATTTGTAGGCAAAGTAATTTAATAAATGCCGTAAATCGAAATTCTCAAACGTAATTATTGCGTTTCTTTTACTCGGAGTATTCACTAAAGACCAAATGAAAACATTACTACATTTACGTACTTAATTTATTTCAAAAACAGAGGTTACAAACATTAAACGGAAACTTTTTATAAACTAATTACATAATAATCATATTATTTGTCTTCAATTTTCAAGAAGGTTTCCTTTACTGTGATTTGTTGACTGAAGAAAATGTATGATCACTGCTATTTTGTTTTCGTTTTTTTGTAATCCTGAAAAAACGAAGTATAGACACGAGTCAAAATAACAGGTCGCGTGTCTTGAGGAAAATTCGTAAGCAGTCTCGGGAATTCTCGTGGCTGTAGTATAATACATATCTAGTTTGTACGATACAGGTGATCAATGATACACAAATTAATATAAAATTTATTACGCCATGTACAATTTCGTTACAAAAATCAGCTTCTATTTCAATTAATTCCAACACGTCAACATTTTCTCCTCGTTTTCCAAATACCAAATTCTCAACTTTGTGACTTTGGAGCTGTGAGATCCCTACTTTTTACGAGGTTAAGCAAGTTGATAATTTGTTCTTTTATACATATCTGAATTAAACACCTCTAAAATCTGTTTAAATATATATCTTTCTATATCATATTCAGCTAGATGTTTACATATAAAATCATTTTGACATATTTATCAGAGTTCTTAGGTTATCGTGATTTTTTAAATTATTGTAGTATATATAAAGCTTTAAATGGCAAAGATCTGAGGGGAGGCATAAGTTAGCAAGTCAAAACCGGAACGCAGTAATGCTCACATTACTGCTTGACGGCAGAAATAGTTACGGTGGCAGTACTTCTCTGGACCACTTCTTTCACAAGAAGCTCTACTACTATTCAATTGCGATTGCCGTACTAAATAAACTACTAAAATAAATAATAATAAATAAAGAAAACTAAAACAAACCACGTTTTTTTCGAATCTAAAAAGTAGAAGTAAATTGAAATGTTCTTTGATAAATAAAAAAGTAAGATATTTAAACTTCTGTGACTATAGATTCAGAAAAGGGTGGTTTGTAACTGGTTTATGACTTTTCATCTCAGTCAGCTTGTGCCCTTTAAATGAGAGATAAATTTAAAGAGATGAACATTCTTATACTAACGTCACAGTACATCTAAGAAAATGTTAATTATGTTAAGAAAAATATAATTTTTTTTATGAAAAATAGTGACAGACATAATATTAATACGAGGAATAAAAATAAACTAGCTGTTCTTGACAGTCGTATGCTTCTATAATAAGATTCCGATTGATATTCACAATTTGCCATTTACGAAGTTTAAAACTATTGTAAAACAAAAACTTTATACTAAAGGTTATTATGCAACTTCTGCGTACTTGGATGACAAAAATCCGTGTTAGTGACCCGTTTAGCTCTTTCAGGTATTCTCGGTCTAAGATGTTTAAATAAAATATTGTAATGATAAATGTATTGAAATGTATATTCACAAAGTTCAACCCCTAGAGTTTCTTGCTCATTCTTTTCAGGGACATCTGTCTACGAATGAGCAGTTGAGTTTAATCAGTATGAGGATTTCAAGTTCAATTTGCTTACCTATGAAATAAAGATTACTTGACTTTGACTAAAGAGTCCGAAACGTTGTTTAGTTTGAAAAAAACGAGAATCAGATCCGAAATAAAAAAGTTGTATTTAATATATTTAATTCGCTTTGATTGTCATCCCTGACCACGTCGTTTATATTAATCGTAGAAATAAACAAATTCTCTGTTATAGAAAGTAAAAGTCTAACAATATATAGAATTTCACTAGATATTTCTAGAATCTATTTATTTGCCATATCGTGGTACTGGCCTTTTGAACAATCGATATTGTTTTCACGCTATTCGGTGTGTTGTGACATGCAAGTGTGATTTATTACGTCTAGAAAGGACTTGTGGGGATTGGCCTACACTAAACTTGCTTTACAAACTATTTGAGCGAATGAAAGGTTGTTTTTGCTGTGTAATAGGAAATATTAATGTCTGGAAATATCGTTCTTGTCAGCACTAATGAACGTATATATAGATCATAAGAATTCTGAATCAAACAATGTAAATAATTACTTTCCTTTAAGTTTGAAAGCCTCCATTTGTGAAATAGTTACGATGTACAAATGTCTGAATAATGAAAGAAATCGTGGTCAGTTCTGTCCGTTCTGTCAGAGTTCCTTGTGAAAGAGGTCGTCCAAGGAAGTTCTGCCGCATTGCCTATTTCTGCCGCCAGAGCTTATGTGAGCATTACTGCTTTCCGGTTTTGCTGGTGAAGCTACAGGCATATGAGACTTGTCAACTTATGTCTCAGGGCGATGGACGTAATAGAAGTGTTCCTCAGATCTTTGCGATTTGAAACTCTAAGTGACACCGCAACTGCTATGGACAGGGCGTGTCTCTAAACACCAGGCGCACGCCTTGTTCATCCCGCTGCTTGTGGATAGCATTCTCTTCCAGCTAACCTTAACCAAAGATTCGCCAAAATGCTTCTAAGATATATAGGTAAAAAATATTGAATTTTGTGAACAACGTTCATACTGGCCACCAGAACGTTCAATATGAAAAAAAGAATTATTTTTATCGTCTTTTGATTTCGAGTAAACGTTCTCTGGTACATGTTGCTAGTAGTTCGTAAAATATGAACGTTGTGGTCATATTCAACCTTTTTTGCGTACCTATCAATAAGTCCATGAGTGTATAAATGTAAGGTATAGATAAATCTCTAAAATGGTAACTGTTAGCTTATTTTAACCGATAGACTACTAGGTACAAGTAGCAAGAGTATAAATTCAGGTTATAGTTTGTACCTTCTATGAAAAATTGGTTTAGTTACATCGATTCTTGCTTGTAACCTGATCATCTTTTTTTACAGATTGCAGGAATCATTCTCGCCTTGTGGCTGGCCCATGCTATAAAAACCGAAGGCAAGAGTCGGGACTCCGCTTAAATAGTCTAGATCCAGACTCAATTAGTATTCAAGGGTTTAAATCGATGGACTAAATTGACCGTGGTCCTGAATACGCTATAAGACGTGATTGTAATGTGAAATCAAGAAAATCACCTAGAGATTTTAATGGTATCTTTAAAAACGAGAAGACTTAACGAACTTGAAAATTTTTTTCCGAAATATCGTTTATTCGAATTTTCATTACACCGAAAATCGAATTATAACGAAACAGTTGTTCTTTCAGGATATGTTGAATGTTTATCGCAAAGACACGATTATGTTCGGTTAGGTTTAAAAGAAAAAATATTTTCCTCTCAAAATTACTTTCGAGGTTATGAAATTTCGACCAAACGTTATTTCTGGCAAATGTCATTTCGGATAGGTAACCCAGCAAACGTTTTCATTTTATATGTAAATTTTAGAACTATCAAAAGCAACGAAAAAATCTTTAGGTGTCATTTTCACAAAACTATTTCCAATTAACAATGTTTATAATAATTAATACTCAATAGTATAATAAGCTTCGTAAGTGTCATTATAGCCCATTGATGTGAACACCGTACTTTAGATGTAAGTAAATAGTTTGCTATAGTGTAAGTGCACGTACCTTTAATTAAGTATTTATTTTCTTAATGTAGTGTGTTTTGTGGATGCTTGTATTGTTTGTGATCTACTTTTAAGTTAATTGTCAAATAGCTGTAGTAACATTATCGAAACAGATTTGTCACAAAGAAACGTCATCATCTCGTAACGGAAACTAAGGAATGTCACCATCTCCTAAAGTGAAGGACACTGACTGAGATTTAAAAAACGAGGTTTAGTTCGACAAAGTCAAAATGGCGATCTTCCTTACCTTAATCTTAAATTATTTGGCTCGCTATAAAAGTTATAATTATACTTAGTCGAAGACAAAGTTTGTTTTATGAATTTCAGCCCTAAACACGTCATCTCCTAAAGTCAAAAATACTAAGAAATGTCAACGTATCTTAAAGTAAATGGCACTAAAAAGTGTCTTCTTGTTTTAAATAGATGGTGATTACACTCTCTCGTGTTTTAAAATCTTTATTTATTTCACTGATGTAGGAAAAGCCTTCTACTTTTATGCTAATATGATGTCGATAGTATATTATTACTTGTAGAACTCTAAAAATAGAGAGAGAGGTAAAAAAATTCATTAGTATGTAAACGTGTGGGATTTGATTATTGAATGCATGTTATAATAAGCGACCACGTTTTAGAATTTTTGTAGGATAACCTTAATAAAACTTCTTTGAGTATTGTTTATTTTCAAGATTAAAAAATCGTCGCGTGTAATGCACTGAATTTGAGTTGGTGCTGTTGAATTTACTTTTCAAATGATTAGTAAAAAAGCTTTACTTTGTTTTCGTTAATATTTTTATATATTTTTCATTGAGAAGGTTTTTAGTCAACATAGAAGATGATCAGAATCATCGAATTATTATTAGTTTAAAGTAACCAAAGCTACTACGTTTGTGTGTATTATTAAAAATTAATATTTAGAATTCTGTTTAGTATTAGTGTTGCTAGAAAATAATTAAAATCGAAAACTGAGTTATCACATTTAAGGGTTTTAAGTGTACAGAAATAAAGATAATCAGATTTTTGTTGTGTGATTTACAAATGTAAGATAGAAATCTAAACGGTTAAAATTTTCACTGTCAGGTTTTTCTTTTGTTTTTTCTATCTCTAACGCGAGACTTACTTTGGAATGGAAAATAAAATTTTATGGCAATATAGGTCAGGGTTTCTTTATTAACGTGTGGTCTATGGATCGCTAAGAGGTCCGTGTAATGAACGCCGGGGGTCCATAGTGAGCGTACCTAACATAATGCATTAATATAAAAATTTGTACACAATATGTTAAGAGTAAGTAGGTTCTGTGCGCGTGTCTTCTTTGAATTTTTGCTCCCTTTGAGATCGTCAGTTATTGGACTGAAACAGACGCGCGTCAATGGAAACCACGTGCCTTTTTTCTACGTCATATTTTCGGAAAGGGTTCGTGGGCTCTTTGAAATTTTGAGAGGGGTCCATGACTAGAAAAAGGTTAAAAAACACACTGCAACTTTGGAATACAAAGTGATCCATAAAATTTAAGAATTATGTCTTCAAAAAAGTACGCATAGGTACTACAATTTTCATGTTATTTTATTTGTTTATATAAATAAGTATTTTAAGCAATTTTCTTTAGAATTAAGATGGCATTTACTAGTCACTAATTGTAATAACAGATTACCTCTGAATCCCTATATTCGGTATGAATACAAGATATTTAATCAATGTTATTATTTAGAAGTGGCATAAACTAAACTTATTATTCAATGACTACATAGTATTGTAACTGACATCATAATTATCGGCGTATCTTTCAAAAACTTACAAAATTTTCTTAAATTCGAATAATGACGTGATTTTGTTAAAATAATATTTTCCTTTTATGGACTTCATTGCTTAGATAATATATTGCGTTCCATTTCAAGTTTAAAATTTTCATTCCTTAAATTTAAAAAATCAGGTATTCTATTTCCTCTTATCCTCTTAGTAATATTAAAATAGTGTTCTAAATGTTGTTATAGATTTTTCTTTAATAAAATATCGGTGTTGAAAGGTTTCTTTGTTTATTAGATCCTTTTTCTTTAATATTTAAATAGTGGCGGCATTTCACTAGTGCTATTGGGCGTTTAATGTACTTGAAAAAATATTTTATGTACAGATAAACACACAGCCACTGACAAATATGACCGTTTATACATGGAGCTAAATAAGGAGTCAGAATAATGAATATGCCCATAGTGTGGACGGTTTACTTGCATATTTGCCTCCTCTGATGTGCATTGAGAAACCGACCAGCAGCGCACGGCAATATGAATTTGGTGCTTGCTGTACTTGTCGAATAGGTAAACGAGGCAAATACTTTGTCACACATGCTGTCTACACATGGTGATTGTTGCCATGTGAAGAGTCACCATAACGAGGATTGTAAGTGAAAGTTTAGTAATAACACCTCGGTGAAGCGAAAAGCAAAAATAATTATTAGCTCGTCGAAGCACCAAAATCTCGATCACCGCAGGAAATTCTGCTTGTTGGTTATTTATCGGACACATTTCAGCATGTGTTCGCAGTATCTTTTCAAATTAGTTCCCCTGAGGTGAGTGAGCCGTTTCTCCTATAGCTAAATGAACTCTCCATTCTTATGTCGTTGAAATACCATTCATTGGCATAAAGTGCTTTACTTCGTCCTTCCTAATGCTTACGGACTGGAGTATATTACCAGGACCCCGATTCAGAACACTTCGACATTTTAACAGAATAGTTCTATTGGATATAGTTCTCGAATCGAAGGGCGCTTTCCGAGCTGTTCAGAACATTTGAGATAAAGGTTCAATTCGGATTCGGATACGATATCGTTATCCAACAGCGTTTATGGAGTCAATAGGTGAAATAGATTATATGAAAAATAAAAATCCTTTTATATACATTTTTCAGATTTTAAAGGTCTATAGGAATGCCTTAGCCTTGCATTAAAATAAATTTATAAAATTTAATAAAATCCGGACTGTATTTAAAATAATAAGAGATTACATACATGCTTTGTAAACAATAAGACTTTCGGCCCCTTTCATTCGATAACTGTCTTCTGAATAACGTTTATAGCCTTTGCCGGTCGAGAAGTTCGAGTAATCGCACGGGTGTGACGTCATTTCCGTTAGGCTTCGAATACGACAGTTTGACGTTCGATTCGGGTGTTGTGAATAAAAATGAAAAGAAATCGTACGATATGAAATCGAATCGGTCGACAACTGAGTTATCGCAAGGTTCTGAATTGACCCAGGCCTGTGTTTCCCCAACAGTACAATTTAGGACTATTCCAAGCTTGTGTGAATACCCTTTTTTAGACGAACGCGTACCATCACAGGTTATATTATGATAATGTAATATCAGATTGGTGAATCTATTATTTATATAAAAAATACCTCTCGCTACTGGAAACCTGTATGTCGAAGTCTACCAGTGTAAGCATGTAAAGACCTCAACACAAATGAGGCCAGTGTGGCGTAGTAAGGCCCAAATACAATTTTATTTATTTATTACTCACAAAAGCACCTCTATAATGGGGAGTGAAGACCTTTAAGAATTGTGCCACCGTCACGCCTCCACCGTCGCACCTCCCGGCAATATTGTAAAACCCATTCCAACAACCTCGATGCGTGGCATTGTAAAACGCACGCACGGGCAATACGTTCGATCCTGCAAGATGTGGAATGGTCTCCCTTCTGAAGTTTTTCAAAAAGCTTGTCAACGCATAGGCAGCTCCTCTGATGTTGTTGTCGTCCATGGGCGAAGATGACCACCTTCCATCAGGTGGCTCGTCCGCTCGTTTGCTTTCTACTTTAAAAAACCATTAAACAAATGTATAATGGACTGATGATTTAGATGATAATGAATGGTTGTTAAAATATACTGAGTGCTTCTATTCTCTCGCAACGTTATGTTCCAAGCGGTAGTCACATTTTGTTTTCAAAATTGACATTTCGAAAGTCATGCTGAATTTATTTAAATTTACAAAGTTAAAAATGTAACAAGTGTTTGAAATTCATTTATGTCAAGAAAAATAAAACGCATTTTTTTGTGTGAAAAGCAAATTTTGTTTATATCATAAATTGAACACGTAACGTACCCTAAATGTCTTATAGTTTACTTAATTAAATGTTATATTGTGCATACACATATATTTTATTATCTAATGTTGAAGTTCTCACATTAAATGGGAATGTCCTGAAATTTGTGTTTAAAATATAGTGTCCCTACTTCTAAGTGATACAATGTGTTCGTGATCATAGATTGTACGTCAGACCCTCATAAAATACTCTACAACAATTTTTTAATGTGAATTCTGATGCGTTAAGTTTCAAAACTTTGAAATCAATTTGACAGGTCAAAATTTTTAATTTTTTTTTGTAGAACGTAACATCTCCGTAGCGATCCCTTCACTTCGTCACCACTTTTAAGTCCAAGTTGGTAAATATTTATTTTTTCTCCAGGCGTTCTCTTTGCATGCATGCTTTCCATTGGTTGCCATCTTTACAAGCACTACCAGAATGAGTAAATTTCAAAAAAAGAACAAGAATTTCTTCGTACGGCAATTTGAGTTTGGCTTCTTTGATATAACTCTATTGAACACACTTGATAGTTTCGGCAAAAGAATTAATTTTTAATAAGTGGCTTTTTCCTGCCCTTTGCAATATTTACTTTCACAATTTAAAGAATTATATACCTGCTTTTAAAAAAAGGTAAATATTTGAGAATGAAATTAATGTTGTTTCTTTGAAATAGATTTTTGTTTCGTATGTAAAATGTTGAAACATTTCAACAAACGTTTAAGGTCCGAAAATATATGTTCATTTCCAATGTGTTACAATCGCAAAAACCTAAGAATTCCTAAGAAAGAAATGGTAACACTACTCAAATTCTTGCCAACAAAAAATTTGTTAATTTAGAATTACTACGCACCAGAATAAGCATTACTTACTTTTTTATTACTTTCTTTAATCGAAGAAATAAAATATCATCGTTAAGAAATCAACCAGACAGGTGCCATGGACTGGCCATCTGATTGGTTGGTTTTTTACCAACCAATCAGATGGCCAGTTTTCTTCAATAATTTTATTTCTTCAAATACCTTATAAATAACAGAAAACGCCATTGACACAGTACAGCTACGTCAGATTGTCTTAAACCTAAAAATAAAAATTATTACCTATATGTAGATGTAACATTTCATTAAATACATATTTTTGTAAATTTTTTAAGAATTTTTAAACCACTTGCAAAAAATATATTGGCAGTAATTTTGAATATATAATTTTTTATAAAAATACATAATCGAGTCTAAAATTTAATTAATTAAGTCTACCAGAATATCGTGGAAAAAAAGAAGAATTTCATAATGGCCATTTCAAAGTAATAACTCTGTTTTGACCGGCAACTACGATTGACCCTTTTGTTACCTTGTTTCCCCTTTCAAACAACAGAATGTAAATTAAATTAATGTAATGCCTTAGAATAATAACGCATAGAAACCTAGTCCGCACACGCTAAGTGAGGCAAATTGAAGCGCGCCAAAAGGCTCGTGTAGGCCACGAGCGGGCGGGCCTTCAGTGCTCAAGGTCAACTTGCACCGCGAACAGATCAAGAAAAAAATGACGAAATGTGCGGTAAATGAGTGTAAAAATACGTCAGACAAACATAAAATAGATACTAACATCACATTCCACAAGGAAGTAACGCGTTTCAACTTGTATTTTTATATAAATATTCACTAAAACCGAAAATTAATCTACTACTAAAACTAGCCTACATGAATTTGATTTTTGCCTCACTTGTGACAGTTCATTTGATATGAAATTATTATTCTATGCGTTATTATTTTAAGTGTAATACTATATAAACCAGATATAACATTTTTGACATTTCCTATCTCTCGGATGTTAAAAACCGGCAAGATATTTTTATTCCGTTTACGCCAATATTGCTGATATCAATTTCCAGTATCCCCATTATTGTTATTATTATTTTATTTATTTATTCAGGAAGCAGACTACAACGGTCCAAATTGGTTAGTAACAAGAGTCTATGTTAGTATACATTGAAATAAAGTAATGTATGAACAACACGAAAGTTACTTACTGCTGATCAACACCTGGACAAAGTGACGCATGCATGACGAGTCATACCTTGCCGCCATTGTCATCAAGATGGAGTTGGAACTAGCCCGCAGTTATAAATCATGAGATTCTGGTAGACCGATGCCTCTACCATGAGTTACTGGTGACAGATCCTAGGGAGCGCGTAAAATATTTCCACGTATAAGAAAAAAAGTTACTTCTTGCGACCGCTAGAGGCCCTGTAGAACTTATCATGCAAAATAATTGTCCAATTGTTGTGTTTTTACGCTGTCGCTAGCGACAACGTCACTGTTAACCAGTGGTAGAGACACTTTACGGAACTTAACACCTAGATCTCAAAAATACACCATTTTGTAATGACACGAATACCTGTACAAGTCTACTAAGTGACTTTGACTATAGGCTTGGTCCCGTTTGACCCAAAGGCCACAGCTGTCTGTATGTTGAGATTCTACTATATAATTATCACAGGATACAGCTACATTGAATACAGGTAATTCCAATATACAACTCGAAACCTTTTACGGCGCAAAGATCTAAATCAATGATTCATAAAGTGGTATATATCGACCTCTGGCAGTCCATTCAACTAACTAGGGGTCCATGTCAGCGAAAAAAGTAGGCAGTGCATGAGACGTGCCTAAATGATCTCCACGAGAGTGGACCAAACAGTGAACTGGGGGATATATCACAACATCTTAAAACAATGTTACTTTAACCTTACATTGACTTTTCGTACCATAACGCGCATACCATTATTTTAATTTTTGTTTTTACGTTCTATTTGTATTATGGTTATCAAATAAACTATTTTTCTTTCTTTCTTTCTTTCTTTCTTAAAGTAAGCTTATTATAATGTTAAAATTATGATGTTTTATTGGCAGCTTTATGACTATTCATTCACTCAGTTTCAGTTTTATTGTCTTATTATTGATTTGCAATGATTAAAAGTTCAATTGAACTTATTAATTTACATATATCTCTTCAATATTTTGTTTATTTTTTATTTAATAGCACATAGGAAATAACTTCTCGTTAAATAAAAATACGCGATGTTTATTTATTTCGTAAAATTATGACTTGGCGAAACTAACAGTGAACACTAGACTATAATTTCGAATTCACAATATGACAATCAAGACTCAGATCAGCAATTGAAAATAACGTTTATTTTATTAACGTTATGTTATAGATTTCATTATGACATACTTTTCTTTTTTTGGCAGTTAAAACTCTCTGAATGTAAGTAATATTATTAAGTACTTTAACATTATACTACGATAGGACGATTCGGAACATCAAAAAAGAAAGACATGGCATTATACAGTTCATATAGCGTTACTCCTTTCCTATTTTTAGTAAGGAATAGACAATATTGGGAAATCATTCGTTCTTTCAATCACTTTAGCAATAATACATTACTTGGTTATAAGCTTACTTTAAGCTTACATTGAAATAAGATTGTTTTTGGTAAGGTTATGGTAGGCCCCCTGGTCGTAATCAAAATTTTAGCTTTCCACAAATGGAATAACCAATATTACACATTACTACCTACGTAAATAAATTATATTTTCTTGTGATAGGCACGTAAATTACCTACGAAGTACTTAAACATTGCACAACAAATAAAATATCCGTTTTAAATATTTAACAACACTTAACATCAATTTTTTTAATTTAAAAATTTTTTCAGTTATCAAACATACATTTAAAGTTAATGAATTTAAAAAAATCAATATTAGAAAGGCAGGGGCCTACACAAAACAGAAATTCTATTATATGAAATTAATAATTCAATAATTTTGTTGTGTAATTTTTATCTATATTTTTTATTTTCGTTTATTATTTCCTATATTTAATTTTTAGCTACACCCTTACCGTAATATGTACTTTACGTGATTGCTAATAAATAAATATTGAATACTGAAACAAAAAAGTTTGGGAACCTCTGATCTAAATAGAGTGGTCAACTGAATGGTCTTTGCAGGATAATCAAAATTATTTTTGTCCATTACGTTTTCGTCCTTTATATACATTGACCGTGTATTAATACTAATTGGATAAATTAGGCTACCTTAATACTTTCGTCACTTGTGTGTGTTAAAACCGCCTTGTTGTAATAAGGCCACATGTGAAAAATTACAACTTTTTAAAAAGATTCTTCGACCCAATTTAATCGATAACTTTTATATGCTTTAATAGTAATATTATAAATTCACATATCGCACTGTTAATACAATAGTGTATTAACTCAAAAAGAGGACTTTCTCAGAATTGATGAAAAACGAATTGCTCACTTCCCGCAAAAAGAATATTGCATGTTTTTGAATAAGAATTATTTTGGCCAGACCTAGCTCACATAAAGTATATATAATTTTGAGTTAAGTACTTTTGATTGTTTCTTACAATATTCTAACGACGGTCTTTTTGACGTGAAGAGAATCAAATTTTACTTTTAATAATGATATAATATTAAATTTCACATATTTTGAGTTACAACACTATTGTAATAGCAGTGTGATATATATACATTTTTTTATAGTACCAAGTGATAAGACGAAGAAGTCGTGGTGGTCGTCGCTTGGTGGTAAGCATTAACAGGTCTGAGGGGCACTGTCGCGGCGCATGTCACCCTGAGATATAAATTGACAAGTCCTATTATTATTATGCCTGTAACTTTATCGGAACGTGGGTAGTAATGCTCACATTATTGCTTGGCGGCAGAAGTAGGTAAGGTGGCAGTACTTCCTTAGACGAACTCCTTCACATGGTTGCGCACAATGGTTAAAATGTTTACAGCCACATTTTGAATCATTGTCTAACTAAAACATCTTCTCGAACGAGTTGTATTATGGAATTGTTCATTAAAACTTTTTACTAAATATTCAGCGTGAAAAGATAGAAAAATTCGTGTATATTGATAGAAAAGTAGACAATATCAATTCGTTGGCAGAATAGTGTGAGCTAGTTTTATTTGTTTGTGTCCTGAGGCGAGACGAGGTTATTATATAAACTAACAAGGATAAATCCGAAAGGAGTTGTGTGTGGTTTATCGAAAACTTCCAAGATTTTGTGCGTCCTTACTAACGAGACTGACCCTTCTGTCGACAGTGGCAACAATAACTTGAACACAGTAGCAAATGTAGCGGCGGCTGTTAGTGCCAATCTTGTAATTTCGCATCGCCCCAGCTGAGAATGGACTCCGTTTTTTCTTTCTTCCAGAGTTTAACATTGTCAGTGTAGAAAATCGAGTCATGTGTCGAGAATTAAGTTTCAAAGTGCGCCTGCAGATTTTGCTGCAGCTTCCTACGCTCTGAGCGGATCGTTCTTGCCATCCAAAACGCAAGAATGATGCAGAATATCTGAAAAAAGGTAATAAAAATAATAACGCACACACATAGATAACCAGAAATTACATCCAAACTCACGAGAGACATATACTCCCCTCGTAACGAAAAAAAGCACAACTGCTGTGTAAAGTACGCATAGTTGTACCTTTTTCCGTTACGAGGACAGTATAAATGGGAATCAAAATCGGGACCTCTGCGTGGATAGTTTCGGCCACGGAGATAGTTTGAAAGATGATAGTTGATCACACGAACGGATGTACGATTTAAGAAAAAAATCACGTAAATCATACTTTATTTACTTATTTCTCATTAAATCAATACAGTGCCCAAGTGAGACGCATATTATGTGCTAACATTGTCAAAACTTGTCCATAAAACCAAATTTTAAAATGTCCATTATGATAGTCCATTATGTTGAAGTACATACATTATTCTCAGTGGTCTATCTCTAGATTTTAATTTCTTAAACTATTGTTTCTAAGCACTCTTCGTTTTATACTGCTATTATTTGGAATTCATAGTAATGACAATTGACACTTAAACTCTGACGGCCAAAAACCAACCCAAGATCCCCATCCGAAAAAAAAATATAGAAATTTTTACCTCGATCAAAGCAAATATGACTCCAGTAGAAATAAAGATATTGCCTTTCACGGCTTTCTTCTGTCGCAAAGCATCTTCGCAGCCTCTCATGTAGTAGGTTCTGTCTGCTAGGCAAGTGGCATGAATATGCTTCCTAGCTCCGCCGTCGCGAAGGGGATGAGCGCGGGAGCAGCAGGCTGGTGGGATATCGCGGTGAAGAATAGCGTAATCTTGGGGACCGTCGACTCCGCAGCACTGGTTCTATTAACCAAATAGAAAGTGCTGTGGTAATCGATGATAAATGAAGTTACAAGACCGGCATTATAGCTGCGATTGCATAATTTGATGGTCTATTCGACGAAACCCCTGTTGAAAGTATGTGAGTTGATATAGCAGCAAAGAAGTTTGCGTTTTGCTAATTAAACTTACGTCTTAATCAAATCTCTTTATTAAGCAAGATGAAACGAAACTATACCTCATATTGCAAGTGGTCCCAAAACGCGTGGTGTTTAGTAACCTCTTCATCAGAAGTGACATTCTTGTAGAACTGGACGCGCAATTCACTTCCTCCTCCTACCCATGCACTGATTACCGCACCCCCAACTCCGACAATCAGCTCTACGGAAACCAGGAATATGAAGAAGCAGGCATGCTGAAACAAGATTGAATTTCTATTGTTTATAACTGTTAATAAGTACTTCTAGATTCATACAGTATGAGTCTATCTGGGTCGACCTCTTGGACGAAGACCGATAGGTCGTCCCGGGTATCGCTGGAGCGACGCCGTGGAGACGGACTTGTGCGAACTACAAGCCATCAATTAGCGAGAGATTGCATAGAACCGAAGAAAGTGGTATCTCGTTTCGGAGGCCAAGACACATTTTGGATCGCTGAGCCAGCGGAGTAAGTAAGATCTGTATGAGGACTAAAATTATAAATCAAGGAACATACCACATAAAGAATCCGGACGTGTTCCCTCAAAGCGCCGATGCATCCAAGGACGGCTGTCACGATCAGTGCCAACCCCAGAGTCAAGAGAAACGCAAGCACTCCACGAGAAAGCGCTGATTGCTCCGGACCTGACTTGCGCTCACGCATATTCATCACGCAGATCGCCATTAACACCAGCCCAAACAGCTAAGGACCACAAAAAAAACAGAGGTTTAATTTTCTATGTAAAATAATAGTAAATTTCTTGAAGTATTTTCCGGTCTCTTCAGTCTTGTTTTTTAAAACCCTGTGTCGTGATTATTACTAGTATACAATAAATAAAGTACACTTTATTTATATGACACGTAACTTATTATATAACTAATAACTAACTCCTGTTCCTACAAAACAAGAAACACTAAGTCAAAAGCAATGTATAAAGTAACAATGTCACTCGGTCCCTGCAAGAATATTTAGTCATGTGGTTAAAAAGTTACAAAACTTAATACGTAGTTACAGTGAACAGACAATGTTAAAATTAACACACTTCAACTCATATCAAATTAAAGTGTAGCAATATTATTTCAACCTACAGCGAAAGACAAAGAACAACCGTGGAGCAAAACAATCAATATCATATACCCGAACCAAGCAGGATGTTATTGATTTTAGAACAACGTAGAAAAATAAAATACTTACAATACAAATGATATTGAACAGTGTCAGAAAGAATTTCATGCAACGAATGCTCCTTGGCTTCATTATGGAGACGGTGTTCGGAGGACGCACAGAAATTATGTCTGTCGGTGGTGAAGTGGACAGGGGAAGTGAAGGCTTTTGTATCGATCATTGCATTTGACGAGCTACTGGTGATTACTCGTGGTGTGTGCGTTGTGGGGGTGGTCGCGGACATGGCGTATTTACGTGCGTGCTTTTAGGGCGGTAATGTTCACAAACAAAGGGACACAAAGTCGTAGGATATGCGATATAGAACTGTATGTAGGAGTTCTTTAATTAAGTTTTTTGAATATCACGATGTTTTATTACCACGATATTCAATTATTTTTGTGAAATTACTCCACTACTTTGTTATTCGACCCGGTTCCGTAGCTCAGTTAGGAGAGAGTTAGTCACTGTATTTGCGAGGTCTCTGGTTCGAAGGAATATGTTCGATCTTTGTATTGATAATTGTTTGTATGATTTCAGGGAAATTGTAATTCAATGCACAAGCTGTATTATTTAAAACGGTATGTAATAAAAATTATCTTTTAGTGTATACGAGTATACTATGCATTGTAACCAGGATTCTAATTGATAAATATCATTGATTTGACGAACTCTGTAGTGACTTGTACACAGGTTTTCATGGTGTCGCCATCTCTGAGGTTCCGGGTTCGATTCCGGGCCGGGTCAATGTAGAAAAACTAACTTTCCTATATTGTCTCGAGTCTGGGTACCGTTGTTGTTTCCGGTTCCCATAATACAAGTGTTTTAATTACTCTGAGGTTAAAGCAACGTAATTGCTATCTATTATTTAGGTGTTAAATGTCAATATCAAAAGAAAGCCACAAATTAAGTCGTTTTCCCAAACATTTTCTCTGTATTGATTTAGTTTGTCACTGTTTGTTGTTTTTAGTCAAAAAACAAAGAGGCAAAGCTATGAATAAGCATAATTATTGGAAACATATATGAGATAAGTTTTTTTAATGTTACTAATTGATGTGACGAACAAGTCGTGCGCCTGATGGCAAGCGGTACGCCTGTCCATAACAGTCGCCGACTTTTTTCTGAGTTGCCACTCATAGCTAAAGCTCTGAGCTTGAGCTCTAAGTTGCAAAGATCTAAGGTGCACTACCTCTGCGCCCATCACCCTGACACATAAGGTGACAAGACCCATGTGCCCGTAAGTTCACCAGCACCTTTACTTTTCAACACCGAAACGCACTAATGCTCACATTATTGCTTGGCAGCAGGAATAGGTAAGGTGGCAGGATTTCTTTAGACGAAAGCTTTCGCAAGGAACTCTACTGCTACTAAATTAAATATGACGATAGTTACGATAACTGCCTTGCTAATTCAAACCCTGATTGTAAAGTTATTACACTTTCCCGTTTGATTTTTGGTATCCGCTTCGCTTACCACCCTAGCACCAATATATAGAGCGTGAGAACCCAGATGTCCATTTCCCCATAGAAGGTATAACTGCTATTCTTTTCTTTATTTTTAACAATCGCTTTTATTTACTATTTTCTAAAGTAAGTAATACAAAAACTTTATTAATTAAATTTTTATTGAATGATATTCAATTATTTTATGTGAAATTACTCCACTAGTTTGTTATAATTATTAATACGAAGATCGAACACTCAGAAAAATTTGTGTGTGTTTTTTCTGAGTGTTCGATCTTTGTATTAATAATTATAACAAACTAGTGGAGTAATTTCACAAAAAATCATTGAATATCAATTCAATAAAAAATTTAATTAATACAGTGAATAGCGACATCCCTCGCCAGGACTGGTAGCTGTAAAGGTACTAACTGGGTGATAAATCTGTCATAGATTTCTCATAGATGGCGCTACGACTAAAAAGTCGTTGAAAGACCAAGTACAAAGACACGACTCAAGCACATAGAAAAATTCGTGAGGTCCGTTGGTTCGTTCCGTGGCTTAATTGGTATAGCGTCTGGCACGGTATGCAAGAAGACGTCGGTTCGAATCCGACCGGATCGAAGGAATTTTTTCTGAGTGTTTTTTCTGTTTTTCTGATCTTTGTATTAATAATTATAACAAAAACTTTAATTATTTTTCTTTGTTTTTGCTTACGCTTGGGCTCTATTCGTCGCCTTTCTGAATATACATTTTTACATTAAAACACTAAATCATAATTTTCACTTACAGTTACACTTATAAATGATATTACTTACACTTACATATTGAATAGGTTACTTTAGATGCACTATTTACACTTTATTACATTTATTATTTTAATTAACAATTTCCCTCCTAGCCGCTTATTAGATCTTTCATTAGATTTACCTCTCATTGGTTCTGACTGAAAACCAGTGCCTTAGGGAACTTGGGTGTATGCTGAGGCAGCGCTTTTTCACTGCTATGACAAAAATAATTTTATTTTTCCTGTGGTATTCAATCTGCATTTGTATCTTACTAGTGAATAAAGTGTTTATCTTTCTATCTATCTATTGGTAGTCTAAAATATGTTTAAATTTACAATTAAAAAGCTAACTTTTCGTGTAGTGACTGTTTTGATTTCAGCGTGCAATATAACTTCGAAATCGTTTAAATATTACTTACTTATAATGTACTTAATTGGCTTAATTAATAAGTTCGTAAATACGTCATACATTAAACACCCACTTACTCGAAGCCAAGGAGGCCTTATAACCTGATACGCCTTATATTCTGGTGTAAAGTAAACCCCAGCGAGAAATATACATGAGTATAAACATGGTAGTATCCAAAGCACAAAGCCTACTTCGTATTTAGATACATACACCTCGAACATAGATACGACGCATCGAGGCCGAGAAGTACTTGCAATAATAATCATTATCGATCAGGTTGTATTGAAGACGCATTAAGAGGTGGATGTATAAAAGGTGGCACACAATTCAAATTATTCATTCACATGCTTTCTTCAAAATGCATTTATTGTAACATTAATCCATGTTCTTAGAAATACTAACATTTAGGGACATAGATATCACGAACCCTTGGTATAATAAAACCACATGTCATAAGCCAAAAGTGCTATTATCACATAAAAGTTGTGAAAAAAGCATTTTTGACTTATGACGTACCTTTGGCTTTAGTACTCCAAGGGCATGAAATATTGGATTTTTCAATAGTGACATAACAATGTTGTATTTCAATAAAACACGGAATATTTTTTTTATAATTACGCATACACTCACCATAGCCCTAGGGAAACCCTGTGTCGCTGGTGCCACAAATTACATCCAAACTCACGAGAGAAATAAATGTAGGCCATACAAAATGTTTCTCCTGTCCCGGGAATCGAACCCGGGACCTTTGCGTGGCATTGTAGCCGTTCGGCCACAGAGGCAGTTAAATTGACATATCGAGTGGAAATTCATTCTAGATGCACTACACAAGTTACTTTAATGGAATTCGATCTCGTTCATATGACCACCGCGAGCACGATTGCAGTGTTAAATTCTGTGGAGCCAATTTTCCAACACTCTTCAATACATATCGGCCGAAACGTTGGCAATTTCGCGTTCGATATTGTTCCTTAGCTTCCTTAACGTTGTTGGCTTATAGAAGTGCTGCAGTGGCGCCACAGTGGCGCGCAAGCTCGATACTAATTTTCATACAATAACGAATCCGCAAAATGCATTTTGTATGAAAATTTTTTTTATTTAAATTTGGCCAACTGCCTTTGCATGTTTTTTTCTTCCAAAACAATAAAGTCATCCTTTTAAGAAACTGAGTCTATTATCATTAAACAAAATTAGTCAATTTGGAAAAAAATATTTTTTGAAATTTTACTTACTTTTACTTCTGCTGTCCCGATTTTTTTCGTCCCATACAATGAAACGATCCCTTCATGAAACTGAGTGGCTCAGCACTAAAAAAAAATTTATGGACAACTCACGCTTTGCCAAAAAATTGACTATGCCAAAATTGTTTTCACAAAAAAAGACTTAATGGTTCTAAAGACAGTTTCCTCCAGTATCTTCCATGGTTTCGGATTTCCCCATACTGTCACGTTTAAAAAAATCCACTACGTGTATACATAGTTTGTTTCATATCACATGTGATTTTATTATACTAAGGGTACGACTTGATTAAAATAAAAAACCGAATGGCATATATTATGTTTTATTGTAATATCATCACAGAGAAAGAAGATAATGTCATAGCTAAATTAAATTATTTATTTTTTCCAAGTAGTGCTACGTTTTCGTAAAAGTGTATTAAGGTAAATTATTTAATAATATTAAGTTAGTATTTTACAGTATGTTTGTAAACTTTCGCGCAGTTTTTGAGGTTGTTGGCGATCCAAATCGCGAGGAGCATTGCGGCTGCCTGTAACCAAGAAGATTCCACTGAAAATTAACTGCTATAACTTCTTGTAGTAACTCAAATACATTCCAGAACTGGCCACAAATTTCATGGACTTTCTTTTACGTCAGATCACGAACTTTTCAATTAAGAGGTGGATAAGAATTATTAACAAGATTGAACACAGAAAAAATTCTTCGACCCGGTGAGACTTGAACCCTTCACCAAGCTGTACCGTAGCGCTGCTCTAACCAACTGAGCTACAGGTCAAGTTATCGAGTTGCCGAAATTTTCCTATGTGTTTTTGTTATAGATCTTTGTACTGGTTTTTGGCATTCGGCATACGACGCCCTTAAAGAGTCAGAATTGAGGGGAAGATAGAAGGGAAAAGAAAGAGAGGAAGGTCAACAATGGCGTATAGTGAACAAATAAAGAAGAAAATGAAAATAAGCAGCTGTAAAGAGGACAAGGAACTGGCTATGAACTGTGAAACATGGAGGAGCACTGACTTTTATATAATTTAAATATTAAAAATACAATCTCAGCGTCTTTACAATTTTATTTCGAAATTATTGCAACAGATTAAAGAAGCTCTGACGATTTACCCTAAACACTAAATGTACATTAAAAATGGATTGCAAATTGATGACAAAGATTATATGGTTTAGTGTGTATGATCCTCAGCGTTGAGTGAATTCTCAGGAGAAATTAAAAACAACTAACCTCGAACCAAAAGCTGATAACAGCAACTCCGAGAAGGTAATCTCCGTCTGATCGCAGCACATAGAGGATCCCGTCTTCGCAACCCTGTCTGTAGTAATCACCTGACCTGAAGAAGCATATAATGTACCTTTGCACTTACAATTACACATTGATAGTGATGGTTTCAAGATGGAGTCTAAAAAGTGAGAAGTGACGTTTATATTTAAATAAATAAGAGTTATAATTGTTAAAACAAAGATCGAAAACATAGAAAAAGGGTCGAAATACCCTGTGGGCTTTGAACCCACAACTATACTGCACCGCATTATTGCTCTTACCAACTGAGCTACGGGTAAGTTATCGGGTTGTGGAAATTCTCCTATGTGTTTTTGCTAAGGATCTTTGTACTGAATTTTCGGAGAATTTTAGAACTTTCTCTATAATTCTTTATAATCATAATAAAAACGAACCTTCTTCATAATCACTATAACAACTAGTTGAGTTATCTTACAAAAAATATCTCAATAAAGCTATATCGACGTCAGTTGAAGCACCTGTAAAGGTGCTGGCTGAGGTGAAGAAGGTTCTAAAAATCTCTCAATAGATGTCACTAGAGGTTCAGAATGCCAAAAATCCAGTACAAAGATCCTTAACCAAAACACACAGGAGAATTTCGACAACTTGATACCTTAACCCGTAGGTCAGTTGGTAAAGATCATACGGTGCAGTATGATCATGGGTTCAAGTCCCATAGGTTCCAAAAAGATTTTCTATGTGTGCGATCTTTGCATTAAAAATCATAATGAAAACTAGTGGAGTTATTTCACAAAAAAATCGCCATAAATAAGAGTTAATAAAGTAGCAATGAAATTAAACATCTTCTAACGTTGACTTATATTATTTTACAGCCTTGCTGTACCCTAGTTATACTTACTTAATGCAAGAATCGTACAGTAGTTCTTGCGTGCGCGCAGTTTGGGTGGGGAAAATGCGGGGGCAACATGATACGCTGATCGGTTGTTGAAGAACATGGTAGTCTGCTGGTCCATTAAGGCCGCAGCACTCGTACTGTTATATTAAAAATAATATGCTCAACACAGATTTAAATAGTTAAAATCGTAGATGGTTGCCAAAATAGATCTTAGATAAGTCTCTATGGTTGATAACTTAATTTAGACTTCCATTTCACACGTTGGAAAGTTACAATGAGATCGACGGTAGCGGATATAATGATTATTCACTCTCGCCTCAAAAAGGCCCAAGTTATAGCGTTCAGGGAACAAATCTGCAGGCAGAGAATTCCACATGCTTCCTGCAAATCTTGGATATATCCATTAGGTTGCCTTTCCACCAGAGATGCGATGATGCGAGAGCGATGGTGATGTGTCAGTGTCAGTTAGTGTCATACTTTCAGTAGCTCTAGTTTCCTATACCGTTTTGCAAACATTTTTCGCCCGCATCCCTCGCACACATTCCTCGCACACATCTCTCGCTATTTTGTATGTACAAATACTTAACTCCGCTAACCCTTTTCCACCGGAGCTGCGCTAAACGAGGCTACGACAAAATGAAGTAAACCAGGGGTGGATCCCTAGCCTATGTCTAGTTCCCCGATGGCAGAAAGGGGGTGGCGGAATAACAAAAAGGGATAATATTATTTAATCCTCAATGATATATAAATGTGCACTTTTTAAAATAATACTTGTTTATGTGACAGTTACATAGTGAAAGGCATTAAAATACGAGTGTGGGTTTATAATATCATAATAACATCACACGAGCGTTTTAAGGCTTAATTGTCTACAGTCAGATACACTGCTTTATCTATACATATATTATAACCTCTCTATGATGTGTACAGGAACCGCATGTTACGACCGGCATTGCGGCATTGATCAGAGCTATTAATGCAGTAATTATTAGTAAAATAGTGCAAAAAACTTATTTTCAATACAGTTGCTGAAAACGTGGTATTTTTCAGACTACAAATCGTGCCGAAAGTTCGATTTTTCGCACTAGTGCTTTTTATTTTTCCATATATTGTTTTTATTTACTGTTGTTTCAAGTCTTAAACATAGAACTAAAGAGGTTGTATATTTATTTTATATTTATGAGCTTTGTAACGTAAGTCATTCGTCAATAAAACTTGTATTTACTTACAAACATCTTATTTGTTTAAATTGCATAGGAGTTTTATAAAACAACGGGTTACATTTAAAAATACCAAAATATTTTCCATAAAGATGGCTGATTGAGTATTAACAATGACCGGAGGTGAGTATTACGCGAGACCGCTGCGCGCCGCACCGCAATAGTAATTTTAATGTGGCTGAATACAGGCGACAGTTGCCATTGTACTCTGGATTTTTATCAGACAAAGAAATAAAATGAGTTTTTTTTAAATACTGTTTTATTTTACTTTAAATGTAATTTTTTCGCAAATGTATTAATAACGTCGTTTGATACACGTGCGTATTTGTCATTTTCACTTGTCTCGAGTCTTGAAGTCTTGACTTTGACTAAGTTCCGCACTTGTATCAAAAATAACTATTCTCACGCATGTCTTGTAGTTTTTTAATTCATAGACAAACTAGAGTCGGGCCCAACTGTCATATCATTCGATATCAAGTAACGTGTAATTTTTGTCCTTAGAATAATAACGCATAGAAACCTAGCCCGCACACGCTAAGTGAGGCAAGTTAAAGGCTTCCACACGGGCTCCCAGGAGCGCGCGGGCTGTTAGTGCTCAAGGTCAAATTGCACCGCGAACAGCTCCAAAATTTTTTGCTAATAATGACGAAATGTGCGGTAAATGGGTGTAAAAATAGAACAGACAAACATAAAATAGACACTAACATCACATTCCACAAGTAAGTAATGCGTTTCAACTCATATTTTTATGTAATTATTCACTAAAACAGAAAAATAATTTCGCGGCAACAAGATACGAAAGTGTTGCAAAGTAACGAATTTTTTTTCTCCCCATTTTGCTATTCTGTTTCAAAATAATTATATTACGTAAATTTTAGTGGTGCCTGTAATTTCGATTTATTTGCGCACCTTGAACTAATATTTACTTGAATAAACATTAAATGTTTTCGTTAACTCCTGTAAGTGATTGGGACACTTAATTATTTTATAATACTTTTAACGGCTCAGCGTTCATGCTTTATTGAATAATTATTTATTTTAATTTTATTTGAATTGCAGCACATATTGCAACAAATTTACAGTATATATTCATTTCTACTATAGTGTTGGCACCACCAGTACAACTTTGATAGCTTATTATATGTCTTTCTTTTAGTAACTCAAGCGAAATATTTGATATTGAAATATTTTATTTTCTTAAAAGGGGAGCATTCTTAAGCGATTTTTGAATCTATTTTAACAGTTATTTTCTTTAATGTTTGCTTATGGCATTTTCGGTTTTAGGTTTCGAATATGGCACTTATTTCTAAATCCAAGATGGCGGGCGCGATTTTTCGAATAATGGCAAGTTGGGTATCGTTTTCGAGATGTTTGGGAATGTTCAATACAAATATGGCACTCATTTCTAAATCCAAGATGGCAAACACGACAGTGCAAACAAAAGCAATATTCGTAATGAGCACCCCCAAATACCTCGAAAACGATACCCAACTTGCCATTATTTGAAAAATCGTGCCCGCCATCTTGGATTTACAAATAGTGCCATATTCACATTGAGCATCCCCAAATACCTCGAAAATGATACCCACAAGCATTTTTTTGAAAAAATCGTGCCCACCATCTTGGATTTAGAAATGAGTGCCACATTCGTAAAGAGCACCCCCAAGTACCTCGAAAATGATACCCATATTGCATTTATTTGAAAACTCGTGTCCGCCATCTTGGATTTAGAAATGAGTGCCATATTCGTAATGAACACCCCCAAGTACCTCGAAAATGATACCCATATTGCATTTATTTGAAAACTCGTGTCCGCCATCTTGGATTTACAAATAAGTGCTATATTCGTTTTTCATCGACAAAACCGAGCATATCTGTAGGCACCTAATCGACATTGTCGATCGACAAAATCGAGCACATCTGTAGGCACCTGATCGACAATGTCGGGCAAATCTGTAGGCACCTTTAACTTAATAATGAGTTGAGCAAGATACAATTTCCCCACTTTTGAGGGAAATGTTATTCCATGGCATCATTATTTGTATATTTGTGTGCGTGCCGACGAGCGTAGTTACAAGTTGCTTACGCCTACATGAATTTGGTTTTTGCCTCACTTGTGACAGTTCGTTTGATATGAAACTATCATTCTATGCGTTATTATTCTAAGTTTTTGTCAGATTTGTCAAAATTGTTTGCTATTGACATTTAATTTCGAATAAAACTTCATCTCGACTGATATTAGAATTGAGGTCGAATCAAATTGTTTTGTTTTTCAAAGATGTTCGAAATTTGAATGTAATTAATAAAATCGAATTTATAAATCAACTGCACTCAAGGTAACACTATCATTATGTTGAAGCGTACTAAATTAATATTTGATAGTCATTGACTTACAAATAAATGGACGACGGGTCTAATACAAAAACCACGAAAAAAATGTCCCAAGTCAACCTATTTAAACATAGTGACATGTAAAGGAATATGAAAAAGCTAAAACGTTGAATTTAAATTGTAATGTCATCGCAGTACTGTCTAACTTTGCTTGCTTCGCTGTCAGTCGAACAAACGAAGACTAAAGCATGAATGACGCTCTGTATACGATTTTAACGCCCAATAAGTTCGGACACTTTTTAGCGCGGACCCGACGTCCATATAATTGTAAGTCAATGTTGATAGTCATAAATAATATTTGATCCTCTTTTTTCATATAGGTCAAATCTTGGTTGCGCCCTCCATTCATGAGGTCACGTTAGGATAGCATATGAAAAGCAGCAGCCAGAAGCGAATTTGCTTGCGTTTCCGAAGATGGTTTCCAGGTTTTTGAATGCTAATTTGTCTGTTTTGAGGTTTATCGTGAAACTTTTAAAGTTAAATCATACATTAGCTCTGAAGAGATTAAAAAATATATTGATTTAATTTATTTTATATCTCAGAGAAAAAGGATCAATCATTAAAAAAGATGACCGTTTAGTATTTTTGCCTGCGGCTTTTGCAAATATAAAACGATCATTTAAATACACAATAATAAAAATCAGAAGAAAACATACTAATATAATATCTCACATTAGTCTGCAAGTCATCCCAAATACGATTGTGCTCTACCAGCTCGTCACCAGTATAGTTTCTGAAGAAGTCCTCCCGCAGCCAGTCGGACACTGTAAATTCCAACCCGCATCGCTGGACCGTCACAAAGATACCGATCATCAGCTCCAAGAGGGCCAACGTCATTAGGAGGCCTGCGTACTGAAATTGAAAAAAACATATTTTTGTGCTAATAAACAGCTTTAGAAGATGGATCCGGTCCAAAACACCACGCTACGTTCCAAAATTCGTATAGCTGACGTAGGCAAAAAACAACACCTAGTTAAAACGGGACTGGGCTGGCCATATCTGCCGTATGTACCCAAAGAGGTAGATGTGTATTATGACATCACAAGACGGCTGTCGCGCGCAGAAGGCCGATTCAAAGAACAATATCGAGGAGTAACCTAGACGCATTCTTGAGTAAATAGCCGGAGATTGCTACGGATAGAATACGTTGGAAGCCTAGATGCCGAGCAAGATGCCTTCGGCCAGAAATGAGACACTATTACAAAAAAAGTTTAAAAGAACTTTTATGTGGACTTCTTTGGGTCTGCATAACACAATTTATCTTCGGCTTCCCAAAGAATTGTTAAATCTAGACATAAGAGCCCGTAGTGCCTTCATAAGCTCACATAAAATACCGTCTGTCTCTTTCATCCCGATTGAAAACGTATATACTCCATCAAGTTTTTATTTAAATAAATTCATTACCACAGGTATGACAGTGTTACAAAGCTGATAGCTGCGTTCTTGTTGGTGTCAGAGATGTCTACATGTAAGTTATTAAGTGCGCATTTGTCCGCCATCTCACCTTATGGATACTGATAACAAGGTTGACGATGGAGCATACCTAAATAATGCTTATTCACTAGTCCAAGTTATAGTGTTCAGGAAATAAGCCAACAGGCAAGGAATTGTACTCCATAGCCGTTCACCATATAAATTTGTAGAAGCGTAACGCTTTGTGCGTATCTTTAGAATGTCCACAACATACGGGCAACTTCAGCCTACGTTTTGTTAGTGTTTCGTAGTTTAATAGTAGATTATATAGTTGTTTGTAATTTGAAATAATTATAGATTAATTCAGTTTTATTCTCCAATTTACTTACTTGTTGTGTAATTCCTACATAGATTTACCTATTTCAGACTTATTGCTTGTTTTTAGGTCCAAATAAATAATAAACCCAATATTATCTATTGCTCTCTTTCTAAAGCCGACCGATGTCTGTGTGGCCAGAGATATGTTAGTAATATTTTGTGCAATTTGTCTATCTGTGGAGATGATTACTAGCAGACAGCCCCGACTGCTTCATAGTCCACGTTATAAAGTGCCATCCATAAAATATATCTTCATGCATTCTATCATGTCACAACTACAGATAACATCAGTCTAAAGTGGAAACCATAGCCACAGATAAAAGTGAAAAGAACATGATATACTACCAAGTACAGTATTTTGACATTCTCCCTTGCGGCGCCTACGCAGCCAAAGATAGCAATGGCCACCAGCATGAGACTGGCAGCTACGATGATCATGTCCCCGGCGAAGGTGCCTGCCGCCCTTTCAGAGCCATATTGCTTGAGAATTCTCATATCTACCACTGCAAATCCGAAGGTGAACAAGGAGATCAGCTGAAATAAAGATATAAGTTTATACTGTATATCCTATAGTAGCCAAAGGTCTCACAAAGTCAGGTGATGCTGTATTTCGCTGTATATAAACGATTAATATAAGAGGTTGTGACTTGTGAATAAGTGGTCAGGAGTAGAGCTCCTTGTGAAAGAGTGCGTCCTGAAAAGTTAATGCCATCTTTCTTTCACTACTTCTGTTACCAAGCAGTAATGCATACATTATTTACTGCTTGGCGGCAGAAATAGATAAGGTGACAGTGGCAGTACTTCCCTGGCGAATTCTTTCACTTTTTTTCTATAATATCAAGTGACGGGATGAACAAGTCGTGCGCCTGGTGGTAAGCTACATGTAGGTCCATAACAGCAGCAATGCCACTCAGAGCTTTAAATCGCAACGATCTGAGGAGTACTACCACTGCGCCCGTCACCCCGAAACATAATTTGACAAGTCCCATGTGCCTGTAACTTCGCCAGCACCTTACCCTACAAAACCGGAACACCGTAATGCTGACATTACTGCTTGGTGGTAGAAATAGTTAAGGTACTTCCCTGGATGAACTCTTTCACAAGCCTCTACTGCTACTAAATTTTGTTAATTTTGTATGATAAACATTTTATGAAATTTTAATCAACTTCTGGTGTCCCGATTTTTTATCCCATACAAAATGATATTATTCTTACATAAAACTGAGTCGATCATTACTAAAAAAAAATTTGATCAATTTTATTCATTTTATGAACAACCCTCGCTTGACTAAAAAACTGACTATGCCAAAATCGTTTTCCAGAAAAAGTTTGGTTCTTAGGAAAATTTCCTTGTATCTTCTTTGATTCGTATTTCCCCATACTGTCCCATTAAAAAAAACACTGTATATTATTATTTTTTTTAGTTCACTTATTATAAAAAAAAATAACGGAAAGCTGTAAAAAAATGTAAAATTAAAAAAAAAGGTATTTAATTAATAATCATTGTAACTATGGTGAAAAAAAATAGGGTGGTTTGCATCAATATTAGACATAACTGGTTGAAGACTGTACCACCTCAGTCAAACCGTGACCATGGGACCTGTAAAGGGCCCGAAACGTCGGTTTGTTTGAAAAACAAATATACGCGATTTAAATCCGGAAAAATAGTTTCATTTCCTATAACAAAAAGCTGTAAAATTTTTTTTATAAAGTATGAAATCACCAACATGATGATGTTGGACTGTGGTCTTCACTTTTTTTTTTAAAATACCCGAGGCATGTTTTCCAAATTTAAATATGCCTAATTTAAAAAAAAAAACTTACTACACAAAATGCATTAAGCATCAACAGCAATCCTTTGGCGCATCCCTTTCTAAATTCTTTAAAATAGATGTTCATATTTTTGTTTTGATTCTTTTGATTATTGTTCACGCGGAAGCCTGGTCTGGCATTGACTGATTTTCATATATTGAAAAGGCAACATGAGGCAGGTGTAGGCACTGGGAACGTACAGATGCATCGTGAAATTTTAATTGAAAATAGAATTCGTAACGTCTACAATATTGATTTTATGTTGTTTTGAGTGTGTAGTAAAAAGATTGCGTTGCGTTTGTTATGCCAAATTTGTTATTTCAATTTTAAAATATTGAACACCCTTGACTTAACAAGGCCATATCTGTAAAATGACAACTTTGCAGGAGAGAGATTTGAAATAATATTGATTGTAATGAATATTGTAACGTTTATGGCGATGGTAGTAACATGATATACATTTATTTTTTGTGTAGTTACTCCACTAGTTTGTTGTAATTATTAACACAAAGGTCGAATACTTGTTTATTTGTACCTTACCAGTATTATTAACTTATTGTCTAATAAATAAAATATATTTATAAAGCGACATCTCTTGTTAACCCCTGGTAGCTGTAAAGGTACTACTACCTGGACCTGGTTAAGTGAAGGAAAACTTTATTTATTAGATTTCTCAAAGATGACGCCACGGCAAAAAAATTGTAGCTCAGTCGGTAGAACGGTATGGAGAGGCTTAAAAGTTTTACGAACGAAATTTGTCGATAACTTTATAGTAGATACTGCTATTCTCGCATAGAAATCACGCGCTCTATCGGTACTGGTACCAGGGCTTGATAAGGGATGTCGCTTTATAAATGTATTTTATTTTTTAAACAATAAGTTAAAATATACACACTTTATATGTATATACCAAGACTACGTTATTTATTCTTGCACAAGAAAATTTAAATTATATCTATTATCTAATATTAAATCTATGCTCATGCCCAAAAAAGGTTGAATTATGATAACATCGGTCATGAACAACTTTGTACCAGAACGTTTAATCGAAATGAAAAGACGATACAGTAATTCTTTTTTCAAATTAAACGTTCTGGCCAGTGGTTCATAGCATAGAATTTCGTAAAAGTTGTTATAATATTTCAGCCTTTTTTAGCGTCCTTCGAAATATATCCATGAGTATATTAAATTATAGAAACGTATACATTGCCCCTTATGAGCTAGTTACTATGAGACGACAACGTCGAGACCAGTCAGTTTGTAGCGGACTGTATTAATGGGATTCAGGTGCTATTGAAGACTGAACGAGACCAAAGGAAATTTCCTTCCAGTTTATTTAAGCAATGAACAGTTACGAACCAAACAGAAAACAAACAAACAATGCCAGTAACCATTGACTTACAAATAAATGGACGACGGGTCTAATACAAAAACCACGAAAAAAATGTCCCAAGTCAACCTATTTAAACGTAGTGACATGTAAAGGAATATGAAAAAGTTAAAACGTTGAATTTAAATTGTAATATCATCGCAGTACTGTCTAATTTTGCTTGCTTCGCTGTCAATCGAACAAACGAAGACTAAAGCGTGAATGACGCTCTGTATGCTATTTTAACGCCCTATAAGTTCGGACACTTTTTAGCGCGGACCCGACGTCCATATAATTGTAAGTCAATGCCAGTAGCAAAGAAAAAGACGTCAAAAACAAGTACATTTCAATTTAGAATTTCAAACTAAAACTAAACTGCTAGAAAGACTGTATAAAAGGAGATATGGAAGGATTTCTTTCTGAGTGTTCGAAGTGGAGTAATTTCACATAAAAAAATTGAATATCAATTCAATAAAATGAGTATGAAAAAGATTTGTAGCGATTGCTGTGATTCGCTACCCAGTTTGCTTGTGTTTCTCGTAACACTAAAAAAAACTATATTTTCGACACCTCCAATGAACACTACGCCATCTTTATTTTTTGGTCGTCTTCTGTTATTTTTGTAAACAGCCATATTTATTTGCCTTAGTCATTGACTTACAAATAAATGGACGACGGGTCTAATACAAAAACCACGAAAAAAATGACCCAAGTCAACCTATTCGAAATTTAAATTGTTATGTCATCGCAGTATCGCGCTGTCCGTAGAACAAATGAAGACTAAAGCGGAGTGTCGCGCTCTGTATACGATTTTAGCGCCTTACAAGTGCGGACACTTTTTAGCGCGGACCCGACGTCCATATAATTGTAAGTCAATGGCCTTAGTAAATAAATATGGCGGTTTAATATAAATATAATCTTATCCCTCCCCGAATTCTGTGAAAAAAAGAAACAAGAACAAAAAAAAACGAATTTTGTAAAAAAAAAGAAAAAAACCAAATAAAAACAGAACAGGTCCAAAAATTAAGTTGGCTTAGTGTTCATTGGAGGTATAGTTTTGTAGCATAAATTTCGGACATAAATTCTGATAAGTACATCAGTACGGAGTACTAAATAAACCGACCTTAAAAGTACGTGGAATCACATCTATTTGCCAAGTTTTGTTGAAATATCCCCTAGTTCGCCACTATACAGGACTTGACATAGGAGATAATAAAAATCGGTTCTCACTACTCAAAGTATATTGAGAGAAAAACGCCTTGAATTGGAGAAATAGCAAAATCAACCATTAAAATAATTGCTCCTTAAGTAAAACTTAGGCGCTATTTAAAAAAAATAATCTTTATGCGTGAACACCCTTAGAGGTGGATGATTTTCTTCAAAATGAAATGGGACCACTATGGAAGTACCCCCTTTCCAACAAAAAAAGAATCATGAAAATCGGTTCACAAATACCGGAGTTATCGCGTAACATACATACAAAAAAAAGTACAGTCGAATTGAGAACCTCCTCCTTTTTGAAGTCGGTTAAAAATATGATACTTTTTGTTGGAGTTTATTTATCGTGTTGCGAACAAATAAAAAATACTTATTTCCTTAATGTCTTTTATTAAAAATTAAATAAATCTAGTACAAATTAGAAACTAAGCACCCAAATTAAGTATTTGACACTGATTTAAGTCACTGGTACAAATTACGCCATAGTAAAATGGTAACTCCGTACAAACTTAGCATCGCGGCCGTGTGTGTGAGCTCTAGCCGCGCGTTTTGTACGGACGTACACATTCGCATGTCGTCATAAATAATTTATTTCCTTGAAAATTTTCTATTTTAATTACTTTTTAATTATACTGTCCCTAATCCATGTACACGGCTTCACTCCTTGATGCTTCACAGGTTATAAAGTCGTTACAAGAATAATTTTTGAAACGTTGTGATTCACCTTATGGCATGCAAAGTTTTCTTAGTCTTTATGTAATTTAATTTTAAATAACACCTAGTGACCGGACGAACAAGGCGCTTGATGCTAAGTGACAAGCTTATCCATAACAGTTGCAGTGCCACTAAGAGCTTTAAATTACAAAGATCTTAGGGGCACTTTCACGGGTGTACTACGTGAGTACGAATGCTGATTACGCGAATGACGATAGTGCGAAGACGGTTGCGCGATAGTTCGTTTTCGCAAATGGTCAGTTGCGCGTAAGTTTGAATGCGCCATAGTTCATTAGCGCGAATGACGATAGCACGAAGACAGTTTTGACTCCCATGGCTGCAGGTTGTTGCAATTCTTTGCAGTGCAAAGCTTTTATAATAAACTATACGTTTATTTTTGTAAAAGTTTATTAGGGTGTACTTGCAACAATTAACTTACCTTCCAATTTTCGCAAATATGTCATCGTGCTATCGTCATTCGCGCATTCAAGCTTTCGCGCAACTGACCATTCGTACAAATGAACTGCCGTGCATTCAAGCTTTCGCGCAACCGTCTTCGCACTGTCGTCGTTCGCGTAATTGGCATTCGCACTCACGTAGTACACCCCACACTGCGCTTGTCACCAAGAGACATAAGTTGATATCCCAAGCGCCTGTAATTTCACTAGCACCCTTACCCTTGAAACCGGAACGCAGTAATGCTCATATTACTACCTGGCGGCAGAAATAGGTAAGGTGGCAGTAGTTCCCTGGACGAACTCTTTCAAATGGAGCTCTACTGCTAAAATGAAATTTGAGTTCGATCTATATATTAATAATTAAATAGGAGAGTTATATAATTTAATAATTCTTTCATGTCATTCGTGTTATTTTTGTGACAGAAACACTTTTGTCGTATGATTATTATGTGTCTTTATTATAACCAAGAGTGGGAAATGATGTTTACATACATCGAGTATATAACCAGAATTAGAGATGTAATAAGGGCCATCCATACCTGGCAACTCATCAGGCAAATTGGCCTTATATCACTTTTAAATATCAACTCTCGTTTGCACTAAAATCACAAATCAGAAAGCTGAAATAGTACAGCGCCAACAACTGGCCTGTGTGTACGTCTCCGTATATTCCAAACATACCGATAAATTGGTATAAAATCATCACCGGCACCTCTAGGTGTGGAATGCGTCTACGGCTGCATGTATCGCGTGAGCGGTTATAGCAAAACTTTACTTCACTTCAAACAATTGACATTTGGACAATGGATGACAATTGACTTCCGCCAATTGTTTCGAATTCGGGCTGGCGGGGTAATGATTTGGCAGAATAGTTTTCAAAAATGACATTTCGTCTTTCTTCTTCGTATTTCTGGTTATATACTCGATGTTTACATACTTCGATACAGATTACCGGTTCCATGTGGTGATGTCAATAATTAATTTACAGCGAATAAAGTTGTGACTATATATAATATCACACATAAAAACAAGTATAAAAAACGTTTGGTTCTGTGGAAAACAAAACAGTCTCGCAAATAATAATTATAAAAAAGCCGACCTCAGAAGTTCGTGGAATAACATCCTTTCGCCAAGTTTTATTAAAATCGGTTATCGGAAAGTGCTCGAAACCGGATTCATCCCCTAGTTTGCCACAAATTGAAATGGGACCTGTACTGAGGTATCCTCTTTTCAACACCAAAAGAATCATCAAAATCGGTTCACAAAGAAGAGTGATCGCGTAATATACACAAAAAAAGTCGATTTCGAGAGCCTCCTCCTTTTTTGAAGTTGGTTAAACATACTTTTAAACGAGCTCTAACACAAACGCTGTTTCGTTTCGATGTGAAAAGCGTGCGCGTAAATGGCTCTAAATATCAGACCCTCTTAAGTCTTAACATTTCTAAAGTAGTAATCTAGATTCTTAATTAAGTGTACATCGCGCCCTTGGTATTCTATGCTCCACATCTGGAAATTGACAACTTTTCAGGAGAAAGGTTGAAAGATTCTGTGAACGAAATTATTCATTTTTTATGCTTCAGTAACAAAGTTATAAAAAAAGACCTACTTCTTAACTTAGTCGGTTCCTGAGGTAATTGTGCGGTGCGGGAGGAGTGACAGTTTACGTAGCAGTCACGTCACGCTGCACACGGGATAATTTCAACAAGATTTTTCTGACGATATTCAATAGCAAGTTTATTGAAAAAAGTGCCTACTAAATTGGTCAATTGTTGTCATCGAGTATATAACCAGAAATGGAGACGAAATAAGGGCGATACATCCCTGGCAACTCGTCAGTGATACATCACTTTTAGATATCAACTCTCGTTTGCACTGAAATATAGACAGGCCAACTACTGACCTGTGTGTACGTCTCCGTATATTCCAAAAATATTCTGTAATTATTGTAATAAAGATAATAACTCTAACAATGGCGTGCAGTTCCATTCGGTGGTGTGGGGAAAGCAGCAAAACCTCTTATTACAAAACAAATTTTTCAAATATCGTCGGTAATTAAATATGTAATTTTGCAATTTTCGTCCATTATAGCAAAGCTCAACTTAACTGGTCGATTTGAAGTGAAACAATTGACGACACCTATTGACGACAACCGTCAATTGTTCCGAATAGCGAGCTGGACAATCGGAGCGCAGTTGTCACAGTAATGATATGGCAGAATAGTTTTCAAACTAATTAAATGACATTTTGTCGCTAGTTCTGTTTATATACTCGATGATTGTTGTTATATGAAACGATAATGAATGATAATTTACTAGCAGTAGAGCTCTTTGTGCGGTTCTTCGAGGGAAGTACAGCCACCTTACCTATTTCTGCCGCCAAGCAGTAATGTGAGCATTACTGCGTTCCGGTTTTGAAGGGTAAGGTTGCTGGTGAAATTACAGACACGTGGGACTTGTCAACTCAGGGTAAGGGGCGCAGTGGCAGTGCCCCTCAGATTTTTCTGAGTGACACTGCAGCCGTTATGAACAGGCGTGTCGCTTACCACCAGGCCCACGACTTGCTCGTCCCGTCACTTGATATCATAAAAAAATTTAAGCTTTTAACTCTTAAGTTTGTAACACTTTTTTGCAATCAACTTGTTATTGCATATCGTCCGAAAAATCTTGTGGAAATTATTCCGTGTGCAACGCGACATAATTGTTACGTAAACTGTCACTCCTCCTGCACCACGTAGCTACCTCAGGAACCGATTCAATTAAGAGGTAGGCCTTGTTGGTCATGTTATTTTTATGCTTTTGTTACCCAGGGTACGAAATTTATACAAATGATACCAGAATAAATGCTAGTTGTTTAAAAAGAGCACCGCAGTCACTGGTATCAGGATGGCTGAAGCAAGGGAGGATGTCGTTGCTCTGTTTGACCAACCATAAACCGGATTCCTGCGAAGAAAACAAGGTATAAGTCAAGATGATATTAATACGTAATTTTAGCATAGTATAATTAGCTATACGCTTCGTATCAACTGGACGTATAATGTCACGTACGAGACAGTACGCTAGCTGATGCCGACTATCATGAAGCGCAAAATCGCATATCTCAGTCTCGTGAGTCGACACGATAGATATCGACTGCTTCAATTTATAATGATGGGAAAGACTAAAGGTAAACGGCGCGCTGGAGTAAAAAGTCAAAGTGGGTTGAAGTCACGAGCGCAGAACAACTGTTTCGTTTGACCATGGATAGGGACAAGTTTGCCATATTGACGGCCAATCTCCTGTAGTAGAGAGGCACTTTAGAAGAAGATAATTAGAAAAGAAGTGTAGCTACGTATAAACGTAGCAGCGCGTCTTATATGTATGCACGCGCGCCATGTACGGACGCACAAATTTGTATAATCTCGCTGTGCACTGGAGATTCAAAGCGCGAGTCGCATACACTATTAATTATTGAAATGTTTGTTTAGTATTTTTAAAATGTATTTCCGCTTTATGTATATTCGTGGGCAAAATTCTTAGATTTCATAACCGCCACTAATGTGAACATTTAAGTAGGCACAAAAAACAGAACTACTAGAAATAATTTATATGACAAATTATGATTGTACTTTTTACTTAGTAACTAAGAAGGGTTAAGAAATTATATTTTAAACTATAATTGCCCGATATTGCGCTTGAAGAGTAAAAAAGAGATTACGTCCAAAAACGGAGTTACGCGGTTTTCAAATTCATTTTTCAATCTCAATCCATCCACACTCTATCTCCCACACACACACACACACACACACACACACACATTTAAACACACACACACGTATTCACACGCATACTAACATTTACCCATGCACACAGCTAACCTTTTGCATTAACTTCTTTTTTTTTTTTTTTTGGTTTGTGTTCATTTCTTGACAAATTTTCCATGTTTTTAATATTTAAGTTATCTTTATTTCTAAATTTTCCAAATTGTTTAAGTAGTTTGTTGTGCGAATTTGATCACCAATTATAATTGGCTAAAGTTTATGTTACCATTGGGGTTAGGCGCTGCATGCTGAGATACAGGTTTAATCCTAGTTCGGCTGCAGAGGCTTACATAATTTGAAATGTACAATTTTCTTAGCCTTATTTTATAATTTATAATTAATTATTTTGTATGTCCGTACATTATTGTTTAAAGTAAATAAACATTAAACATTAAACATTAAATTTTCCCCACAATTATACAAACACGCATTTCGAGATACTTATCTGCTATATTAGTATAAAAAATCTCAATATGCAAGTTCTGCATATGACAAAGGTTATTTCAATATGGCGCGAGAATAACGTGATGTCTTTTTTAAATTTTGTTTATAACCTGTAGGTAGAACTAAAATAATAATGTGACAACCCTACGCTCCGAACAAGATGTAGGCACTTATTTATGCGCCAAACAGACGGGTGTTGCCCTACTTGTTCTTATTATACTATGTTTTTATTTTGCTCGTCGATGCTCCGTTCTGGTCAAGATTATCGCCGTTTCCCCTTAGTTAACGATCAGCCCTTGCATTCCTATTCGGTCCATATATTTTAGATATCGACGCTGGAAAAGCAAAACGTCGATATGGTTTTGTAAAAAGTGCTGGTGGTGGGAATCTACGAACCTACAAAGGCTTTATTGTTAAGTACCAATTTTTTTTTGGTGAAATTACAGGCACATGGGACTTGTCAACTTATGTCTCAGGGTGACGAGCACAGTGGTATTGCCCCTTATATCTTTGCCATTAAAAGCTCTGAGTGGCACTGCAACATTTACCCAGTCCGGCCAAAGCTTCAGAGATAGGTATATGGCTTTAAAACAAAATTATCAACGACGCTGGCCAGGTTCTGTCATCGAGTACCATATTGGAACATTTTTTTTCTAAAAGATAGCCGCCATACAAAATTGAGTTTGTTAAGCCTCTGCAACTATCGATGATTTTTTTTATCATAGCCCCGCACTAAAGGGTTGCTTTTTTTATATCGCGAGTGCCATTCACACACACATAGACAACCACAAATTACACCCAAACTCACGAGAAAAACAAATGTAAGCCATACAAATATTTCTTCCGGCCCGAGAATTGAATTTGGGACCTCTGCGTGGCAGACCGACAGAGCATGGTAACCATTCGGTCACAGAGGCAGTTATATATACCTAATACCAGTTCTAAGATTTCCAGTAGATTACCAAATACTTAGCTCAAAATCATGAATTACTTAGGTACCACTACACTTCAAGGCCTACCTCTAAGAGCGATTACACACGGCGATTTTAGCAGCGATGCAAACGCGATGCAAGCGCGCGACTGCTTTGATACAAACGCGCTATTACACCACTCGTGCACTCTTGAGATTTATAGGCGATCGCCTCGATGCAATCGCGCAAGAATAACCGAGATAAGAACCAGTTAAAGGTCTCTGACAAGTGTTCACTGCCTAATTTCTGTGGCAATTTTTATTATCTAAGTATTCAAGTACATTATCGTGTAATTATTAAATAATATTTCACAATACAATACTCGAATATTAAATAATATTGCACGATAAATAAATCGAATGCTTAAATAGTAAAAATTGCCAGGGAAATTAGATAGTGAATACTAGACATAGAATGACCGTTAAAATATTTCTTACGTATAATACGCAGTGTAAAAATACGACTTCTTGCACTGGCCGGGAAAGATCATTCCATATCTTGGAGCTGGCATTGTTATTGAAAACAAGTGGAATTCCAGAGCAAAGTACAGACAGATAGCTTATAAATTATAATATGACCCTGGTTTGACTACAATTCATAAGCTTGCAATTGAGGGTGAACGATTACGAAAACGAAAATAAATAACGATTGAACGTAACGACCGATTTGCAGATGCAGAAATATGGCATTGAGTTTAAGGACATGACTTTGAAAATTATAATCGTTTCAAAGAGCGGCGGTCACCCAGGTCGAGGCTTTCTACGTGAGACCGGTCTAGTCTTTACAATAAGGTGACGACTCGGCTAAACAAAAACAAGAACTGCCATCCGACCATACATAGCAAGCCGGACTTAAAAAACGTTAAGAAATATACTCTGTTATGTTGGATCGCATTCCGCGTAAGTTAAAACATTTCGCACGTTGAAACCAATAAAGTCATTAAACGGAAAAGTAAACTTTCAAGGAATGGGTCATTAAAGTGTCTGAAAATAAATTTAGACTACAGAATGCGATGAGGTTCTTCGTCGGATTCTTCAACCAATAATGCAGGGATAAAGACAAGGAAACCGCAGTCGAGGCAGAAGGAAAACCTCGTGGTTGAAGAACTTAAGAGACTGGTTCCACTTTAGCACACGTTCCCACTTTGGTGCGGCGGCTTCAAAAATAAGAGTAGCTATGATGGTCGCCAATCTTCGTAGAGAAGCGGCACACTAACAAGAAGACAAAATGCGAAATTTTCGTTTAGTGTCGGTATTGGTTTTAACGATATATCAAACGCGCTAACCCGACTTTTGGTTATTTAATTTTCGATAGGTAAGTCAAAGTTCCCGTCACGTCAAAGTTCCATCCTCTAAGTGAAAACGCAAGAAATACACAATTGTTTTTGCCACAAATTTCAAATGTCACTCGCTGTACATTGCAGTGTTTTAATTTACTGCCTAGATGATTCAGAAAATATCAATCTTTCATTTACTCATTCACGAGCCAAATGGCCAATATACAGGTTGTCTATGAAGCCAACGCCAAAGCCTAAAAAATGTACTTCAAAACGAATAACTTTGTTATACGACGCATTTTATAGTTTTGTTTTTCTCTTTGTATATTGTAAAACTGGGCCGTCCACAAGGAGCCTGGGCAACCATGTTTGAATTTAACAGTACAGAAATATTAAAATTATAGTGACGAATGAAAAACACGAAACGAAAAATAGAGTTGAATAAAACAATGGATACGAATTTAAAAAATATATACAACTTTTCATATCAAATACAATTTATTCATACCAGGCAAACTTGGCCGTATGGCTTATTTGGCTCTTGCCATTTACAAGTACGTTGTTTTTTTAAATGGTTGTTCTCAGTTTCTCATAAATGGTATTATAATTTCAATGGTGATTCATTCACTTCACGTCCGTGTGAATTGGTGTTAATTTTATTGTCCAGAATAAGCCCTCAAGTTTTGGTGCCAACTTCAAGTACAAAGGTGTACATTGTAAAGATTCAATAATGAAGACATGTCATAGCTAGCATCCGAATAAAGAATACTCAATTCAGATTGTAACACGATATCGTCTCGGTTAATAACTGAGGTGGCTTCAAGGTGAACCGAAGTAAACAAGTCCCAACTCTCGTCTCTATTCTATATTTATACCTTTTGTAGTATTTGATTATGCACGAATATAACTTTGTTACAAATAAGGCCGTCACGGGCCTATTTATAGTAATTATCAATCACCAGTGCAGGATTGATACTAAGATCTTATTTGTCAATTGCATAATGCATTAAAATATACAGTTGAGAGTTGTCAAAATTTCCGCCTAACAATCTGCCGCCTCTCAAACGGCGGCCGTGGGTTCGAATCCGGAGTCGCATCTTTGAGTTTCTCGGAATGTATGTGTGTGAATGTGTACCATGAACGTTTCGGTGAAGGGAAAACATCTTGATGAAACCGGCACGACTAAGAAGGTTCACAACACTCGGAAAAAAGTGTAAAGTCCCCGACCTGCACTAGGCCAGCGTGGTGGACTATGACCTAAACCCTCGGCTGAGACGAAACCGTGCCCAGCAGTGGGACGTATAAATGGGTTAATGATGATGATGAATTAACTTTTAAGGTCTATTGGTAATCCACAGTGCTGACGCCGACTTGTGATGTGATTGCTAATTAATTTAGACATTTGTGATATCACAGTCATATCACGGAGAGTGTGCGATGGAATTACAAGATTTAATTCCGCCTTCCCCTTTTCATCACCGAGGGACTAGGCGTAGGCTTGGATTCCATCCCTATGTTGTGGATATTCCAAAGATTCGCACGAAGCGTTACGCTTCCGCGTTTATATGGCGAACGGCTATGGAGGGGAATTCCCTGCCTGCAGGTTCCCTGAACGTTATGACTTGGACCTTTTCAAGGCGAGAGTGTATAGGCATTATTTAGGTGTGCATACTCTATCGTCGACCTCATCGTCACTTTCCATCAGGTGAGACGGAGGTCAAATGCATACTTAAATTTGAATTAAAAAAAAAGTCTGCGACTTCCGTACCGTTACTCAAAATAAACTTCAGCTCCAAATTAGCATATCACAGTGGACGTCGGAGCAATATTGACGTCACCGAGTGGAACGAAGACTGACAAATCAGTCAGCAAGAAAATGTACTTGGTACGCCTCTATTAATCGTGCTATTCGAAGAAGTCTCTGGTGTTACTAATTACTGTGCAAGAGAAAGAAAATTTTAAACTACACTGTCAAGAGTGATAATGGCCCCATTCTCGCTCTATTCAACGCTTATCCCCGTCTCATGCATATTATCGATTCTCTAACATGTACCTGACAATATATTCTATAACATCCTTCAATTTACTAAGTCTGAGCCTCATTGATAAACTCCTGGAAATATGTAGCAAACCTGAAGATAGCCCACGCTCAACAGAAGACATATTGAAAAATATAGACGCTTAACCTGTCCTGTACAAATATACACATAACATCTGTTCTTCATGACGTATAAACTATATAAGAACAGGCGCTTGTCGCAGTTTCCATCAAAACAAGGAAAGATACTAAATATTTGAAGATGCTGTGTGGTGGAACCTTTGTCTACCCAAGTAAATGGGTGAAAGTTCTAAAAAAGAAATATTATTGAATTTGACAGGTACGAATAGCATTGTACAATGCTGACACTTTCACGGTAATGATCGTCAGGAGTCCTGAATGTCTACCACGAAATACGAAGCAACCACCATCGTTTTAGCTTCGTATCAGATAGGAGTCTACCACGAAACACGTACGAAGATTGTGTTTTGATATAAGTTCTTACTCTGAAACGTCAAATGACAGCTTTCGTATCGAATTTTGACAATACTTTCGTCGTAAAACTGACAAAATGTAGTACGTATGAACTTAATTGCGGACGCAGTCACGTAGTATCGGATTTCGTGGTAGACTTCCTGGCCTTGAAGCTACAGTTCAAAATGGTTAGGATAAGTCCTATTAGATCTTAGTCTCTTGAGAAGGTGTTATCAAAGATGCCGATAATTCCAGTCAATTAATACAAGATGTCATACAGTTCTGTTTATAAGTTGAATAAGTCCTCAAACGTTACGAGACATCCATTAAAACAAACTGAATATAATTTTTTAATTTCCCATTTTCATAAACTTTATCGAACCTAAATAGTTATCATTTTATCAGTTTAACGGTGAGCAACTCCAGCTCCTTAACGATTTACATATTGTATTTTTTACCATTTGTGGTGATCGTCAATTTAAGGCAAACGACAACAGATTTTTTTTGCTCGTTAACTATTTATAATCTGGTTTTACCACGTGATACAACTGAATAACGTGTTTTATACAAATGTCAGGCGGACCCGTCTTCAATTCAGGATTCTTGTACAAAATCGCTTCCTTGTAATTTACTTTATTCATTTAGTGCACGTCAGTAAATAGACAATACGCCTTCAATATATATTGCAAGTCGGCCGGGCACGGTGAAACTATGCTGAATAATTACAATTATAGTATCAGTGTCACATACCAGTGCATGAGATATCAAACATCACCTTTGCTCTATTATTGCAAAAGAAAAACAACTTCAAAAGGTTAATTTATTCAATTCCATAGTCTCAACAGCAGTAGCTGCTTTACGACATATCGAAATGTAATCCACTATGTCAAGTCACGAGTAATTTCTATTTTATAATAACCGGTTGTACAAACAAGTATTGCTGAAGCTTACTAAAATCATTACGACACAAAATATTAATAGGTCTAATATTGATAATTATAGATTACAAAAAACATGGAAGAGCGTGGAATTAACAGAAAAAACTACATTAACATTTAAGAAAAACGAACGTTGACGGTGTCAGACATATGCAATCACCTCTTTTGTTTACCGTCAATGTTTTAAGCTATAACTGAAGTGTAACCATTTGTGGTCATCATGCTCATTTGACTTTTAAGGCTTGATCGAAAGGAGTTCATTCGACTTTAGGCACCATGTTAGCATCTAACAATTCTATCTCTGACTCCTTCAACGCTCAATAACCAAAAAAATGCCTACAAGATGCCAACGACTCCACAAGCGACTCTTCCGCCAGCATTTCCTGTCTTCTTCGAGTCTGGATGGTTCGAGCGTCCGAAATCGTCAGCCCTCTCATGAAGTACCACACCTCTGCCCAGGATGCTATACGGACCGATCAACGAGATCAGGTCATCGGTAAAGTCGATGGTGGCAACACGATTTTCATCGAAGGCCACGTTGCCAAGGTCTCCTACGTGACGATTTTTGTCACCTGGATGACCGTGATCTTTCTGAAATTGGAATAAAATTGCACTTAGCTAAGAGCGTCAAACAGAAATGAAAAATTATTGACAAATCTATTAATAAGAGCAACTTACATGTTCAGGGTTGAAATGGGGACCAGTACTCAAGCATCCACCAGTGATGTCTCCCTTCTCATGTATGTGGAAGCCGTATTCACCTAGTGGCAGACCAAAGATAGACCCTTGTACCTGGACCTTGCCATCAGCCAATTGAGTGAAAGTCACGTTTCCGGAGATTTCTTGACCTGATAGACTGGAAAGCTTCACAATAGCCTTTTGGGGTACCATCTGAAATCATGAAAAGCTTTGCAGTAACGGTTTTACCTATGATAAGTGCATAATTCGATCTATATTCTCAACATGTTTACTAAACTGGTAACCAATGGTGTATAATGTGTCTTATCATAATGACTTAGCGGTTTAATTGACTTGCACATTGTCGGCTACTTGTTTTTGGAATCGAATAGGATGTACTTTGTTTGTTACGGTTACGTGCGTAGTTTGTTTTGGGATTTTGAATAGGGTATTGACAAGTATGGCGTTAATTTACGTGCTCTTTGTTAACAAAAAAATATAGTACTTAAAGTTTAGTATGGAGTGCTTACGATTGCTGCACATTGAAAATGTAACAACTTTTTCGGGTCTAAGAGCGGTTACAAACGGGGACTTTTAGCAGCGATACAAATGCGATGCAAACGCGAGTCGCGTCTTTGTATCGATGCAATCACCTATAACCCCGCAAGTGTAGCGATGCAATCGCGAGTTTTGCTCTTAATAGTGTATATTTGGTTTTTCAAACAAAACCAACGTTTGTTGGTCTTGACAGATCCCATGATTATGGCTGACAGATTTTGTTTAAAAAAAAACACGATTTAGATCCAAACAATAGTTTCAATTCCCACATAACCTCCTAAGGCCTCATGTACAATCAACAACACTTGATGTGTTATACAAGATCCGTTGGTGTGTAGTACGATGTACTGCCGTCGTGCATTATAATGAAATTTCGCATTCAAATTTAGCGCTATATGTTCCACATGACCATAGAGAATCTTGAATAATCTCATTACAGAGTACTAAAAAAACCAACCTTAAAAGTACGTGGAATTACATCTATTTGCCAAATTTTATGGAAATATCCCCTAGTTCGCCACTATACGGGACTTGACAAAGGAGATAATAAAAATCGGTTCTCACTACTCAAAGTATATTAAGAGAGAAAAACGCCATGAATTGGAGAATATCAAAATCAACGATTAAAATAATTGCTTCTTATAATAAAATTTAGGCGCTATTTATAAAAATGAACCTTCATGCGTGAAAAGCCACCCTTAGAGGTGGATGATTTTCTTCAAAATTAAATGGGACCACTTTGGAGGTACCCTCTTTCCTACGAAAAAAGAATCATGAAAATCGGTCCACAAATACCGGAGGTATCGCGTAACATATATACAAAAAGAACATACAGTCAAATTGAGAACCTCCTCCTTTTTTGAAGTCGGTTAAAAATACTGCTTTTTTCATACGAAACTGAGTGCAAACTGGCTTGGGCCTAAAGCATGTATTAATGTTTAGTACATTTTGGGCGTTTAGTGCTTTCCCTTTTCTTTTTTTTTCTGATAAAAAATTTCACATATAAAAATGCCATGCAAGTTACATACTAAGAACAGTTTAACTTAGAAGTATCACAAACTAGAGCATTAATTTATCTGACGTCTAATATGAGGTCTATCTTCAGCATATGTATGTGAATTGATTGCTGCAAGAAGAGATATACCACGGATACGAATTGATAAACAAAATGTAACAACGTTTACATAGACAGGTGTCTCATGGAAAATGGAGTAGTTTCAGTAGATCTCTATATGAAAGAGTTCGTCCGGAAAAGTACTGTCATCTTCCCTATTTCTGCCGCCAAGCAATAATGTGAACATTACTGCGTTCCGGTTTTGAAGTGTAAGGATAAAATTACAGGAATTAAATAAAGTTACAAGTCCCAAGGACTTGTGTGCCCCTCAGATCTTTGCGGTTTAAAGTTCTGAGTGGCACTGCAACGTTCGTTCCGTCACTTGGGTATCATAAAAAAGGAAGTACAGCTAAAGACTTACATGATCAGGCTCATGATGTGCTGCCACCAAGACAGCGGCCGAAGCCAGAAGGAACATTTGTTTCATCATCTTCGCTTCTTTATCTGAAAAGAATAATTTGTTTTTAGAACTTTGTCCTCTTGAATTTTCAAAAGAGTTTCCAAGGTATATAATTAACAAATTCGTACAATTTCATAGTAAATGCGTACTTCGGTATAACTTAATTTTATTTCTTCTTATATACCAGACCACCAAAACCGGTCTCAAAGTAGAGAATTTACTATGACTACCAGGGCAACAGAATTCACACAGGGGCTCTACACGGAACATTCAGACTAAAGTCAGTTTAGAACAGTCCATTTCCCAAATTGGTCATATAGAAAACAGACCCGGGACCTTCATATCCACCGTTCACAATGCAAACAGTTGGGCCACCGAGTCATCAATTGTATAAGAATCTAAGTCAGAAAAAATAAAAAAACAATATTTTTTAATATCAAATAAATAAACATGCTTGGCCACAATCGACGATTACATTTTATAGTATTTTAATGAGTGTCTTGAACAATTTTTCTTCTAGACTTTTTACCTAAACGCGAGTAGAATGCCTTTTTAGATATTATTAAGAAGAAAATATTCCACCTCTAAAGGTGGCAAAATAGAGGATACTGAGGTTATAACTTTTTAAATTTCCTAAAATAAGTGGAAGTTGTTGGCTGCAAGATTCATAATGTTAGCAATTTTTCAGAAACTACTTTTTCACCTTATCATCGAAATCCAGTTACATCGTATTTAAAGGAAACAGAGTTGGGAATACCGAAAACCTTAAACACAGATCTCTTGATCTAGTTCAGATTCCATTCTCCTACAGATTTTGTCCTTTATTAAATTAAACCTGTTTTTGTAACAAATACTTTGTAACAAAATTTAGTGGAAATAAAATAAATTTATTTAATTATTATTGCGTACTAAATGTGATATAATATATTAGGAAGAAAAAATAAGTAGAAATAGAGTAAATTTAAATCGTTAAGTTAAAAAAAGGGCATGGTGCCCAGGAGCATGATAACATTTCCCGTTTGAATGGGTTTTAGCATAATTTTTGACGACTAGTTGCCAACTTCTTCTAGTAGTCAGAAGATTCAACAAGCTGAAAATGATTAACTATACTATTTTTTAAATTCGAACTGTAAAAGTTGAATTTTGTATGTAAGGTTCGTGTTTACCTACTTTTAACATCAGGCACAACAAGCAAGTTTAAAATAAGGGTTTATTTATTTTAACAACCCTTTTAATTTAATTAACTATTTAGAAATAACACTTGAAACAACAACACTTAGGAGAAAACAGTTTTGGGACAAAAAAATTATCTTAAGTTTCATGTGTGTTAGTTCATATATTCGATATAACCTTGGTTTGGTATAATAACAAAAACACGACTCACCTCGCCGGTACGGGCTCGCGAAATGTCCCACTCAACGAATACAACGAATAGTCTACAAGATGTTGTAAGAAGCTACCAATTTAAACTGATCTTTGACTTTAGTTTTGTTTTCAAAGCTCATTTATAACTCAATATATTTTGTAATAATTATTATACAAAGAACGGACACTCAGATAAAAATCATTCACTCAGAAAGAATTATAACAAACCAGTGGAGTAATTTCATATAAAAAATAATCGAATATGAATTCAATAAAAAATTAAATACAGTGAATGGCGACATCTCTAGCCGTGGCTGGTAGCTGTAAAAATATCTAACTGGGTGACGAAATACTTTCATAGATTTCTCATAGATGGCGCTACGGCTAAAACTCGTTGAAAAACCAAATGCAAGATACGACAACAAACACATAGAAAAATTCGTGAGGTCCGCTGGTTCGTTCCGTGGCTTAGTTGGTATAGCGTCTGCAACGGTATGCTAGAAGACGTCGGTTCGAATTCGGGCGGATCGAAGGAATTTTTTCTGAGTGTTTGATCTTTGTATTAATAATTACAACAAACTACGTGGAGTAATTTCACATAAAAAAATAAATGAATATCAATTGAATAAGTAATATATATTTTTTACGATACCAAGTGACAAAGTTTTTTTGTCTCAAGGTGTCGGATATTGTGGTAGCGCCCCTCAGGTTTTTTCGATTTAAAGCTTTAATGGTGTGGCGTCACAGCACGATGGGGTGCATGAAAGGAGTCTCCCCGCACTACGTACCATTTTTTTCCTCTACGTATGACGCTACATCACATTTTTTGGCTGTCAATTATAATGAAACTATGATCTTTCAAATCTTCTATACAAAGATTATATATTTCAATAGCACCGATATTTTAAAACAATCATCAATATCGCTTCCAGATGCATTCACTCCTATATCTGTTAAGTTTGGAAACAGAATAAATTTCTACCTTAATTATGTGCTATGGTTTGCGTATTACGTCCAATTCGTATCAGTTCCGAATACCAGAAATGACGATCCGAAATGTCACAGGGATAATTTTATCTCTATGTGTACAAGCAATATTCGAATTTTGAAAAATAAAAATATATCATACACTACCTTCTTGTGTGTACAAAAATTGTATTATTTGTTAATTTAATTAATTTATAAACTAGTTACATAGACTCATCCGAAGAACAGAGTCCGATGTGATTATATAGCGAAAGGAGAATAAATACGTTACGAGAACAACAAAGATCTATGTGCAAAACTACTTGTTCTCAGGACATAGTACATTTCGTTCGTTCTTATTCGCTGTGGATATCAGCTCGACCGTTGTTCGATTTTATATTTCCGAAATGAAACAAGGTATATAAATTCTCAAAACACCTTAACATAGGCCTTAGTTTGAATAAGGACATTATTCTGGTAACGTACTAATTATCTTTTCTCTATCGGACTCTGTTCTTCGGATGAGTCGAATTTCGTTATTAACTGCCTCCGTAGCCGAACGGTTACCATACCGGACTGCCACGCAGAGGTCCTGTGTTCGATTCCCAGGCCGGGAGAAATATGTGTATTGCCTACATTTATTCTATGTGTGTGTACATGTACATGGTACCCGCGACACAGGGTTTCCCTAGTGCGGGGCTATGAGTGTGTTGCGTTATTATTATTATTCAAACTAAGGCGTAGGTAAAGGTGTTTTGAGAATTTATATATCTTATTTCGTTTCGGAAATATAAAATCGAATGGTCTATGGGACATCCACAGCGAAGAAGAACGAACGAAATGTACTATGTCCTGAGAACAAATAGTAGTCTTGCACATAGATAGACCTTTGTTCTACGGATGAGTCGACATTACAAAATAAGCTTAATAATGTGAATGTGTACGCAATAAAGCCCGAACTTTGACAAATATGGATGTAAAATTTCGCATAAAAGTGGATTTTCGTTATAATTCTCATGACAAATAAATATTTCTTAAACCACAAGGAGTCATCCATGGTTCACTAAAGGCTGCCCGCTTAAGAAAGATCTGGTCAAATATACCATCATCAAGATCAAGATCATTTTTATTTATGCTCATTTTTTATATGATTCCAAGTGATGGGGCGAGCAAGTCGTGCGCCTGATGGTAAACGACACGCCTGTCCATAACAGTTGCAGTGCCACTCGGAGCTTTGAAACACAAAGATCTGAGGTGCAATCTGTCAGTGCGCCCTTCACCAGCACCCTTACTCTACCAAACCGGAATCATACAAGTATTTCATTTATGAACAATCGGCTCCGCATGACTGCACACGGCCGGCAACGTTTTCACCTCTCTGGGCGCGTGCTTAGGTTCCTTTTTCCTCGTGGTGAGTGCCTGGTGTCATTAGTCAGATTTAGTAGGCTATTATAACGTAGGTATTTTCGCTGTTATCTGTATTTATACGTCGCCGGGAAATAATTTGAGACAGTGACCTTGTGCACAGAAATCTATAGATTTCTGTGGCGATCTGATATAATATAAAAGGTGCTTAAAAAAACAAAAGTTCCTAGTTTTAAAAATAGGAATATCGTCATAAAGGTATTCGGTCTGCTCGTGTTAGTTGCTAAAGGTAGAGCTCAAATTGTAATGGCGAGTGAGGACCGGTTATACGGGTCGACTTACTTCAATCAATCAGTGTAAATAACTTGCCGGCTTGGGTTCAGCGTAAAATATTATTATACCGTACATAATCTATGTACTTGGATTGATTTTATGATGCGTCGCTTGGGTACTATTCGACTTTATTGACTCTCAACAAAAATCAAATCATGTACTTACACAGGTTAAAAAGTCGTTACAAGAATGAATTTTGAAGCACTGTGATCCGCCGTATGGCATACAAAATTTTCTTAGTTTTTAGCATTTTTTGATTTTCTTGCAATATTTTTTTTTAATAAGACCAAGAGACGCAACGAAAAAGTCGCCCACCTGGTGGTAAGTCCATGACGTTGCAGTACCGCTTAGTACGTTAAATCACAAAGATCAGGGGGCCTACTATATATAACCTTTCAAAAAACAATCTTATTTCAATGTAAGCTTATAGTAAGTTTATTACAACATTACTCATATTTTTCGTAAGTAATATTGTATATTCTTTACTAAAAATAGGAAAGAAATAACGCTATATGAACTGTATAATGCCATCTCTTTCTTTTTTGATGTTCCGAATCGTCCTATTGTAGTATAATGTTAAAGTATTTAATATTATTTACATTCAGAGAATTTTAACTACCAAAAAAAGAAAAGTACGTAATAATGAAGTAAAATTACGTTGTTTTCAATGAAGAAAAATAAATAAAACAAGCTGAGTCTTGATTGTCACGTTGTGAATTCGGAATTATAGTCTAGTGTCAACTGTTAGTATCGCCAAGGAGCATATATATGTCGCTGTCATAATTTTACGAAATAAACATAGCGTATTTTTTATTTTCCGAGAAATTATTATTAAATAAAAAATAAACAAAATATTGAAGAGATATATGTAAATATATAAGTTCAACTTAACTTTTAATCATTACAAATCAATATTAAGACAATAAAACTGAAAATAATATTGTTTCCATTGCATCCGTGTAACTACACACATCAAAAGTGTCTAGGGATCAAGTACGTTTAAGAGTATTGCTGC